GCCTTCCCTTTAGGCGTTGGGGGCGCGAGGTGCAGCCCCAGCTTCGTGGGCGCCTCACACTTCCTGCTTTTAAAGGGAGAAGATGGCAGAGACCTCGAGGAAGTCCTTCAAAGACAGTCTGAGTGATATAAAACAACGTATGAGAGAGAAAAGAACTCAGAAATGGTCAAGGCTGGGTAAAACTACCCAGTTCTCCACCGTAAAGGCCAAAAGAGCAAGTAAGATGCTTAAATATCTTAGGATTTATAATTTGTTTGTTTTCTTTTCAATCCCGTTTGAAACACTCACTGTTGCGTTGCAGCCAACAGCTCCAACAAGATGAAGATCATTCAAGCAAACAACAGAGATCTGGCTCTGTCCTTGCAAGAACACAAACTCAAACTGAGGGAAGCTGAAGCTACCATTCTTCAGCTAAGGAAAGATTATCACATTTTAAAGGCTCAGATGTTTGACTTGCAAAGAAATCATAGATTCCAGCAAGAACAACGACATGTGGAGGTATTCTTAATAATAACTATATGAGCTGGTGAAGCTGAACATCAGAATCTGTACCAATCCATTGGTAGATATTTTTATGATCTTAAATGTTTCATAAAACACTAGCTCAGTATGTTCAATGGGTTTTTTTTCACCTGACTTGGTATGCTGGTTTGGATACCTTGACACGTGGTAATGAAATTTTTTTCTCACTACTCTTTCTCATTTACTTAAAATAAGAAAGATTTTATGTTTACTCTTAGTTAACAAAAATTAAAGTCTATCTTCTGTGAATTTTGTAGGGAGCTTATCACATGTGAAGACACCTGACAGGTTTCTTCAGATTGTAGTTACCTCACAATGCTGATGAGTTTGTAGTTGGTACTAGAGTGTGATAGTAACAGTGTTACTGTCCTTCCTTTGTCCATTAGACCCGACTGTCAGCCTTGAATGAGATAATTTCCAAAGTTTCTCAGAATTTACTGGACTCGGTCACTCTCCTTGGCCCAGCAAAGAACTTGTGTTCCATAGATGTAGTAAGTACCTTTTCCTCTTGAGGAGCAGGGCTTCTATTTCTGATTGCCTTCACTTCTTCCACCATAGATGCATGCAGATTTTGAGATTTTTAGAGGAAGGACTAGTCCCACAGTTCCTGGTATCCCAGGGGTGCACAGTGTGGGAGTGTGTCAGTGAGTTATAAGTGGGACTGAGGCTCTGCTAGGAGGTGGTTGGACCTGATTTTCTGGGGTTTTATGCACAGTCTCTTCTCCTGTCTGCTTGCTGTAGGATTGAGCTGGGGATGAATGTGCTGATGTGCAGAGGCTGAGAAGGTGGCTGGCTAACACCCACAGCACTTGGTGTTAGCTACACAGAAAGAGAGTCAAGGGCCACTTTGGTGCTTCCTGGGGTAACTTGGCTGTTGTCTAAAATTTGTAGATGGTGCAAGCTTGTTTCAGCCATTTAATCACAGTATGATTTATTTTGTTGACAGAATCAAAGAGTGCTTTCTTCAGGTCCTGAAAACAGTTGCAGTGTCACAGAATCAGCACATTCAATGTAAGTATCATTGATTAATTCCTGTCTGTGCTTGGAAAAACTGTTACAGGAAGTTTAATTTTCTGACTGGAAAAAGGGAAGCAACCCCATGTAATGAAAACTGTTCCTAAACTCTATTGCTGTTTAGTAAATACTACCTTTGGTATTTTCTCCAGAGGACCTCTAAAGTGCGTTCTTGAAGATGGTCCTGTACTTCCAAGTGGGATGGAAGCTGGTGGTGACAGAAATTCCTTGTCAAAGATCTGTGGGGAATCTGACAGTGACATTTCCTTTACCAAAATTATTCCAAGCGAAGGTAACTAAATCAAAGTATCAGACATTGCTCTGTTTTTGAATTAGGAAAACAATGTGTGAGTACAAGTTTAAAAAATTGCTGCTTTTGAAGGAACAGATAAGTAACTTTCTGCTTCTTGTCATAAAGGGGAAATAATAATGCTGGTAAAATGTTTGAATGAAGATGTCAAGCAAAATGGGGTGGAATTTGAAACTGCTTTACCTTCTCTATAGCTGCAATCCAGTTTCATTATCTGTCAAACAGTTCAACCAAGTAAAATTGCTGTTATACACTCATTAGCATTTATGCTATCAATAAAAACTTACTAACAAAGCAAAATAATCAGGAAAATAAATGATCTGTAAATAACTTTCCAATAGGAACATTTCAGAGGAAAATATTAGTGCTATATTACCCAACTTCTTTCTGCATGAAAGCTATATTAAATAGAGCTTATCACAATTGCCAAATTTTAGTTTTTGAAAATTGGAGAAAACCCAAAGAATAGTCTGAATTTTTGACAGGTTCAGAATTTTTGCACAAGATCTTAACATGGTTTTTCTGTCTGCATTTAATACGACATTTTCTCTTCAACTACAAGGACAGCCATCTGATTTTCATCTGAACAACACAGAGTCAGAGCTGGAAAATGTTTCTTCAAGTGTCAAGTTTGGATTTGGTAGCGTGTTACCAAAGAGTGTATCCACCAGACGTCACTTTTCAAGGATCAGGAACCCTGATGTAATTTGTACTGGTGTCTTGGACCATTTAGAAGCACCTGATTCAGTAAAAGAACTTTCTGAACAGGATGAAATTAGGCTTGAGGAAAGTCTAGAGAAGTGTGCTACAGAAAATATAAATGCAGCTGTTCCTCACTTGAATGAAAGCAATATCGATTCAGAGCTGGTGTTGAGGCAGAAAACTTCTGAAACTGCACAGTTGAAATTAAAGCGTAATTCTGATCTGAAACAACCGGAGTGTAAAAGCAGAGAAAACCCTCAACGAAGGAAAGAAAAGCACCAGAAAGGAAAACTGGAATGGCCGCTTACTTCCCAACAAAGGCCAGGAAAACTGGGTAAAGAGGCCTCTAAAGAAAAACGGAATTTCTTGGGTGATATCAGTGATGCTTATGACTTTCATTTGGAAGAGAGTGTCCATCTTACACCTTTTCGACAAAACAAGGTGAATGACAGTGATACTGAAGTGGAGGATGAAGAAGACTCAGCTGAAACCAATACCATTGAGTCAAGCAGTACTGCAGGTGACTCAGATGACAGCCTCTACGAGCCTTACAAGAGTAAACCAAAGAAAAGGCGAAGCTCAGTGAATGAGAGCCCTGTGTCACCAATCCATCCAAGGCCAAGGTCTAAAAGATGTTTGGCACAGCGTGAGCAGAAGCTCTGTCATGAAGAGGAGACTGAAAACAAATCAAGTGATAAATCTATCAGTAAGTACAGAAAGTGTTTTGTAATTGGTTTTGTTTTCTTGAAAGACAGCATTGTTTAGGAGATTTAGGCTTTTTTATTTTAGGGGGGGTTTAATAGCAGCTAAAAGAGTAATGTTTTAAGAATGGTTAGATTTTCTTTAAAGTCCACATACCTGAATGAACTGAACTGTGCCTAATTTCTTCACAGAGCAGTCTTCTGAGCCATCTCGTGGGCATCTCTGTGATGTTACCAATACAGCTGCAGTGCTCCCCAGCACTGCAGATGCAGAAATTGTCTCTGAAGGTGAAGGACATCAGTCTCCAAAACGCATGCGGCGAAGCTGTACTGGTATTGTGAACTACAAAGAACCAAGTGTTATAGGGTAGGTGTTTTTTCAGTTTGACATAAAGTTCAAGATATTCCATCCAATAGAGGATTTGAAAGGCTTATTTAGATCTTGAAAACAAGACCTTAAAAAAAGAGCTCGAAGAACTCAAATTCTAGAGTTAATAATACAGCCTAGTTTGTGTGAAATGGAGTTTACTAGCTAAAAGTTATTAAGTGATGTAGGGAACAGAACTCAGTTTTGCCTTTTTCTTTTTTCAAACAGGAAACTCAGGAGAGGAGATCCATTTACAGATACAAAGTTCCTGTGTTCTCCAATTTTCAAGGTGAAAAAAGATGCTAAGCGACGTTCTCGTAAGATTCTATGAAAATATCCAATGAGAAAATGGTTACTTGCCTTTGAGATTCTCAGCAAAACCACGCTTCTGCCATGAAGAAAGTAATTTCCTGGATGAAATATTTTGTTGCACAATATGTTATATAAATATGTAAATAGTTGTGTGTCTAGTATTAAAGACATCAGATTAAGGGGGCCTGGATTTTTTCTAGTGACTTGTTTTTAATGAATGATATTGATTACTTTTCTAACTAATGTGATTCTATTCAAGCTCCTTTTGAATGGATCTGGGAGTATGTGAGAAATCTCTGATGGATACAATGGTGAATATCATTTTATGGGTGAACATCAGGCACTTAAAATGTTTTGAGCAGCAAGTCTTTTTAATAACTGTGTTTGTACAGATCTTATGTGATGGCTGTAGTCTCATGTCGAATCTTGTAATAAACATCTCAGTATTTTGAAACAGCTCTGAGTGAATTGGTGGTTTTTGGCAGTTTCCGTAGTTGCTGCAAGGGCACTAATGTCAGCAGTGGGCATTACAGGCCAGTATACTCTATCCCCATCTTATGTGGTGGCATAAGCACTGTTCAGAAGCAACTCAGTAGCTGCAATTTGATTCTGTAGCTGCAGCTACTGAGCTGGCCTAGCTGTGTTCACAACACAGCCTTTGGTTGTTTGAATGGGAACTTAGCTTTATCTTCATATCCTAAAATTCTAGCCACAAGGCCTCACCATCTCAGTCTGGAATTCTAGGACTAGAGGAATTTGAGTGGTTGAACTATATTGGTTGGAGCCTGATCCCAATACTGCCAAGGTTGTGGGTCCTATCCCTGTATCAACCATTCGTGTTAGAGATGCACTTAATGATCCTTGGGGGTATTCTGTGAACCTTAGGTGCTCTTTCATTAAATAAATCTGCAACAGCTGTTTTAGCAGGGAGAGGAAAAAGATCAGGGTGATTGTAGAGCAACCCAAGGCAGGTGTAGTGGGTCTGGGTAGTGTTTTTTCTTACTTGATTGAGCAAGCTTGAAAAATTGAAGCAATGAAGTACCAAGTAATGAAAAAAAGAGACCAAAATAAGTAGGGTTTTGTACATATATAATTTAAAACTATTCTGTACCAGTACAATATATTAATTTGACAAATGTAAAGTTCATCAGCTGTTAAAGCATTTGCAAAACCACATATCCTACCATAACTTTATTGCACAGTATCTATGAAAATATTAATTCTTAAATTAGAAAACACGTTTCAATATAGAAGAGACAATCTGATTGAAAGACAATAAGAAAATCTACTCTGAAAATAACAAAAATTCACAGGTTACCAAGCTTAACAGGTGCATCTGTAGGCCCAATCTACAAAACAGGTTTATAGTATCCTGTTCTGGCTATTAAAGAAAAAGTACTCACTGTACCTTTGTTATAGATCCCAATGTAGGTCAGACTAAATTCATACAAAACACGATGGCAAGTCCAGCATTAACATTTTGAATACCTTGGGTGCCACATTTACTACTTCTAGATCCTGACACCTTGCTGAATCTAAAATTGCACAGGCATTTTGCAGGAATAAATTCTTTGACACAGCACAGGATTGGTTTTCTCAGTCTCATAACTTGAATTTTACCAGTGTAACATCTGTAAATATAAAACACCAAGAATGAAAGTTTAATCTGTTTTTCACAAAAGCAGTTATAATTTACAAACTAATTAGAAAATGTCAAGGGACAGCTTTTTGGCCTGTACTGATCTCCATTAAGGATTTAGGTGTACCTCTTAAATGTAGTGTAAGCAGCAAAACGTATATATATTATATGTATATATGAGTGCGTGTTCCTTTTGAAGGTATACTAAGAGTTGTACAATGCTAATATGTTCCTGGGTCTAAATAATCACAGTTAATATGCATTTACAATAAAGCTTGGTAGAAAATCCAGTTTACCACGGAGCCAGGTATCTAAGCTCAAAGCTGTCCTATGTTCTCTTCCTTTGCGTACAATAGTCTTATTTCTGCTGAACAATCTAAAGAATTTAGCAGTGAGGAGTAGTAAGTAGAGTGGATCATGAAGTGCATAAAACCTTAACTCTACTAAGCCAATTAAAATTGTCTAGTAGATGCGAAGTAGTCTCTAAAGTTATTTTGGGTACTTATGTCCTGCATAAGCCAAGTCACTATGACATTGCGCATCTAGCCAGTTTTTTTTTTTTTTTCTTTTTTAAGAGTGGTTATGAGATTACAATTTGCAGGTAAAATATTTATCAAAACTGAAAATGAATAGAAAAACTTGCATCTATCAAAGACCACAGGCAGTCCTTTTTCAGAACTGGCTGCTCTTCTCTCACAGCTTCTCAACCAGCTGAGTGTTTCTTTTAAAAAATAATATCTTATAAAAAGATTCTACAAAGAAACAAGTGTTTCAGAACCCCCCCACACCTGTTGTTTTCCCTTACAATTTTCTTTTTTTACTGGAAAAAATAATAAAACTTTATCAAATAGGTACTGCATTAGGTAAGCTATAACATTAGGTAAGCTATAACATCTGTTGTCTGGGAATTTTCTTCATCTTCCCAAACATGTGCAATTTCCCCCATGTTTGTGGGGTTTCTGAGGCTGTAGCTGATAAAATTATTAGGAACATAAGGTAATCGGCACACAAAAGAAATATTCCGTAATTAAATACATTATAAAGCATTTTAATAAAATAATTTTTGTAACTTCAGTATAATACATGTTTGTAAAACTAAAAGGGTTTTTAAAAGTGCTAAGTATTAAACAGAAGTTTCTTAAAAGTCCCACAACTCAGATATAGAACGGCTTTCCCTGTCCATAACATAGGCACACTATTTGGTAGTAAAAAAGACAGTGTCACTTGTCAATCAATCCAGCTTCTTTAATTTTTGTGTAGAAGAATTTCTCCAGTATATTGGCACATTTGTAGTATTCACTCTCGGGGGGGTTGTACTCTCTGCAGTTTGTAAAGACTCGCTGCAAGTCTGCCATGAATAATTTCTTAGACACGTAGTACCTGTTCTTGAGTCGCTCACTCATTGTTTTGAGATCTGCACAGAAGAAAAATAGATTAACAGCGTTGGATTCAAATTTGTTTTGTGTGCAGTGTCCCTTCAGACTGATTTGCCATTTAACATGAACTGGCAAAGCTAGGACTTGGAATGGAAATTGCCTTCATCTCAGGCAGGGTCTGTATTTTAGCTTCAAAAGCAACTGAGCTGCTGGAACTAAGCAATGTCTCACGGTAAGGATGAATTTATGTAGCGTTCATTTTTAATTCTTTAAAACATTAAAGCTTTTTTTGTTCTGTTCTCATACTTAGAGCTCTGAGTTTCCTGTGGTTAGTAGATGTCCCTAATCCTCTTCTGACAGTTCTGAGACAACCTGTTCTCAGCTCTGCTGGAGGAGGCCTTAGGGGCATATGGGCAAAGAATTCAAACATCACAAAACATGTATGTTAAACAAAAATCCTTACTGCTGTGCAAACACAGCAGAGAAGATACATTGGTCTACACTACGAGCAGGATTTGCAGCCTTGGAAAAAAAAAAAGACAAAATTTGTTCTATGCTCTACATACATTTTTATTACCTCTTGAGTGTTTATAGTTGTATATACTTTTTAAGAACCACGTGAGAACTGATCTTCCCTGCTTTCAGAGCATCATGCAAAACATTTACTTACAGAACATTCTTTAAGAAGTGTTCTCCTTTAAACTAAAATCAGTCATCCATAAAATATGTAAATCATCTCAGTGTTCTCCACATAGTCATTTTCCCAGTAATTCTCATCAGGCATTTAAAAATTCTGTCTACATTACAAGGGTTTTAAGAGTGAATACAGGAATAGAAGTAGTGGGAGGTGTGCTGGATGCCATGTTTTCTCACCTCAGATGCTCTTAACTATTTTTTTAGCAATGCTTGAGCCAGACATCAGCAGCACCTTTGTGAAAATAACAGAAGTAGTGGAAATGCAGAAGACTTAATGAGTATTGCAAGGACACCAGAGACCAAAGACCTCCAATGCAAAGGAATTAAAGTTTTTAACTTCAAACTTAAAAAAATATGGTTGTATTTTTGTTTTGGTAATGGTTTGGGGGGTTTGGAGGGTTGGGTTTGGTTTTTTTAAGGGAGATTTGAATTTATTAAAAGAGGAAACCTTTTAAATTGACAAGATGGGATTATCTACTGGATGCTCTCAAACATTTTTCCAGTGGTACAGAACTTGCCACTCCCTAGTTTTGCACAATATTTTGCAAGAGTAAAAGCTCATTCAGCTCCCACTAAGTCTGAAATTCAGGTGCCTATACCTAAACTAGATATCCATAGACTAATTATAGCACCGAGCTGAAAAAGCTGTTCAGCTCACCCTAAAGCAAGTGTTGCCTGGCTAGAGAGTTAAGCTGTTCTCCTCTAAGCACAGTGAAAGTTTGGCTCCACCTGTCATTCAGCCATACAGCTTTTGAATGGCAGATGAAAAGGGGGAAAAAAAACCCAAAGAGTATTGCTTGATATAGTTTTAAGTGCTCTGAAGAGCACTTAAACCTTATACATGAGAACTGACCTTAGGAGGTAGAAAAAAAACATTTACAGCTATACCTCTCTAAAACTGTACGATTTAGTCTGTACACAAACATAAAGGCAATTGTTCTATCTTGTCTGAGCAACTTTTTACAGTATCAGCATGCTGGCAGGGAGAACAGAAAGAAATCTGAATGTATCACAAATCAAGGCACAGTTTAGTCATGCTGGGTTCCTTAGCTGAAAAAACCAAAGCAAAATTAAACCAAAGACCTCAGCTCAATCCTCAAAGTAAACTGCTGCCCCTACCTCTAGTGTAATGCATCTGAACAAGGAAAGGACAGACAACACTCCTAGTTTGAGTCTGCCAACTCAGGTAAGTTATTTGTAACCACTGTTCAGATTAAACAGATTTCTGAGCTAGATCTGCTCAGAAAAGCAGATAGAGAAAATGCTGCCACAAAGGGGGACTCATATTCTTTTTCTTCATTGGTAGAAAATAAATTTGTGTTGGGGGTACAGGAAACCAGTGATTGGTTTATAAAGTATATGTACATTTGGGAATGGTGATTTGAATACAAAAAATAATTAAACTAAATTGATAGACATGGGCTTGAAGCCCATGCAAAGCAATGTGAACAAATACTTTTATTCTCTGAGAACCTGATGGCTAGTAGCCTGCCATGAACCTGTATTTCATTCTCTAACAATATTAAAGGGTTCAGAAACTGTAATCAGAATGATAGAGGTGAGTATTGCATAAATGAGGGAGGAGTATCAATTCAATTGGAATTCAATTTTCAATGTTGTGCAGTACAAATCAAGCATTCTTTTAGAGTATCACTGAATTATTATTGAAATTATATGTGCCAAAAGTCAAAAGCTGGGTCATAAGAGAAGCAGTCAAAAGAAAAACATTATTAGCAGTTGTGTACTTCCCTTTGCAAGCAATCCTACATAAACAATAGCTGTGTTACTTAGAAGTAAAAATAAATATAAAAATAAATGTAACACCTCAGACAATCGTGGCAGATCTAAAAGATAAAGATAAAAGCTTTAAATTAGTTGCATGAAGCATTTCCTAAACTTAGATTGGAGCAAAGTGTTAAGACTTAGTTAGAAAACCCTGTGACCTTTGAAAATGCTTTTTTTTTTAAATATGATTTAGAAATCTTAAATCTGTATTTCAGAGCAACTCAAATGCTCAGGTGTTACTGAAAGTTAGCCTTGCCTTCAGTTTTTTTAACATATGAGTAGGATCTGCAATGACCAGCTATCACACACAGGAACGTATCCCTACAACTCACCTACACCAGCTGAGTCCTGAAAGCTTCTAGCTGACTGCACCATTTAAGAGCTTGTTAGAGTTCTCTGGGGCACACTAAGATTTCAGATACGTACACCACACGTTTCACAAAGGTCACAGAGCACTCATCAATTTCAAACGACAGCATCACACTCTTGACACTTCAGAGCTGCAAGGTATTCAGCTGCAAGTAACATATATCTTTTACCATAAAACAATCAGATTAAAATTTATCTGCTATGTCTGCAGCTATAATGATTTTTAAACTCTACTTAAAAAATGTTAATGGCATTACCCATGGGAAACCTTATAACTTCATAATATCCAGGAGCTTCTGTTCTCTTCACAGGTTCCATGAAGGGCCAAGCGCTTTGATGGCTCTTTGGTAAAAAAAAAAGTAAGGTATCTAATATGGAAACTAGATATTGGAAATAATTTTAAAATCTTTACAGAAAGTAAACTAGAGGTAGCACTCACCTTAACTTGCTGAAGGATGGTTTTTAACGTGCTGTAAAGTTGATCTGGATCCTTGGACTCCTTACTTGAAGGAAAATATAAATAGAAAAAGATTAGTTTGGGTCCCTTATCTTTGTTCCTACAATTTGCATCTTACCTAAAAGCAACGCCAAAGTTTCAAGCAATTTATGAAAGAAATAAAATTTAAAACAAGCAAACAAACCCAAACAAAAATCCTCAGAAAAGAAGCCCATTACCCAAACCAGACTTGTCCATAATAAAAAATAAAATAAAAAATACCACCAAAAAGCCACTTAAGAACTCATCTCTTGTAGATTATTTGATTTCCAATGGATGGAAGGAAATATCAAGTATCATTGTCTAAAGACTTTTCTCAAAGGAATATCCCAACTGCTTCAACATTTTACTTTGTGTAGCACTTACCCTCTTTCTTTTCCACTTGGTTTCCAGCCAGTCTCTCCTGTATACCAACAACATGAGATATTATATGGGAACTACAGTAGGTCAAAACTTTAACTGAGTTATTGCAACTCAAAGAAGAAAAGCCATTTCAGCACTACTGCAGTAAAATGGGTTTGTTTTAATAAAAGCTACTCCTAATAAATAACATAACCATCTAGCCTGCAGCTCCATTCAATTTCCTACATGACTCTTCCACCAGACTGCTGAAAAGATTCTAAAATATTTCTATATGAAACACATTTCTTTCCAATAATTCAATACATATTTTACTGCAACCCACCCCTGTAAAGAATAATCATGACAAAGTTATACAATTTGATTCCCCAGGGACAAAGAATAAATTGCAGAAAAGCCTAGCTGAAAAAAACTCCCCCAAAATATGATACTTAATTATTTTTAATTCTGTTTTGTCCTGTACATTCATGCCTAGCACAGAAATCATTGCTGCTCAGGAGTTCAGTGCATTAAAATGGTGCCAGAGGGAAACTGCTGCCTACACTGTGATACAAATCAAAGAGGGATCACATATAAGTAAAATTATATACACGTACATAAAAGAGGATCAGCCTGGGATGCCTTGGGGAAATTTCAAAGACAGCAGTTGTAATGGAAACACAATAATCTTCACAGAAATCAAATCAGCAGACTAAAACCATTACATTCTAATCAAAAAGAACTATGTAACTACATTAGTATTTCTAGTCTTGGACCATTCTTGGTGTATTCTGCTCCTGTTCTACATTAAAAGAGATTGATACATACTAATTCCAGGAATGCTTTCTATAGGAATCTGCCGTACTCCATCTTTGAAGCAAGAAAGGCCGGGATAGACTTTTCGGATTTGAGCTTGCTTCCTTTCTATGAGCTTTTTAATGATCTGTAATAAAGCAGCAGAGAAAACAAAAAATAATTTATTTGGTCCAAAGTCACCCAGAAGATTAATGCAAAACTGTGATGAACAGAAACATTCTCACTTCCCATCCTTGCAGTCATTTTCCATGAAGCTGGAAATGGAGCTGAGCTACCTGACCAAGCACAGATTTTGCAAATGAAGCTACTAAGTCTCTCAGCTATTTTGGTACAAATCTAGAAGAAAAATGAGTGATTGCTTCCTCTATTGATCACAAGCTGCACAGCTCTTGGGAAGACAGGAGCAGAGGCAGGGAAGGAAATTTCCTGGAAGAAGTTTTGAGAACTGGCTATAAAATTTCAACAGCTGGAACCTCTGAAATGCTTCAGCACAGCTGGTCAAAAAATTTCAAGGCACATATTGATGCATGTATTTTTATGTACATACATGTTCATATTCCAAAATTTTAGAAATTAGAAACCCATTTACTTCAAAGTCTCCATATAGCTATCTGCAGGAGCTGCTTATGTATCAATCAAAGATACTCTCATGAAAGATTTTCTCTGGAGGATGTCAGAATGATGCCACTCCTCAGAACCAAAATTCTACTCTCTCTGCAAATGCTAGGGAAAGGCTTTTCCCACTCCTGGGTAAACTCTGTTTTACTTTGCAATCTCATGACTCAAATTATAAGCAATTTGCTTTGGTGCTCTTGATACCCAGTTAGATACTTATCTAAGCTTTGTGTGTCCTGGACATGTGTCTTTCAAAACTTCCTAACTTGGAGCAAACAAATGCACAGCCATAGAGACTTCCAGTCTGATAGAATATTATCTTTGGAAATAATAAAATGGACATATTTATATTTTTAAGGACCTTCACTCCCTCATACATAGTATTTCCTCTCAAAGAAGGGAAAAAGATAAAACCAGACTTTCAAAAGAGCTTGGAAATGTTAAGAGGAATACAGTGTACAACAGCACCATGGGCAGATTCCAGCATTATAGGAAAATAATTTCAAACTAATTATCAAATCCAACTTAAGCCCTTCTTACAATTTAGGAACTAGTGGCTCTTCCTGATCAAAGCAAGCTGTTCAATCAGTACCAGTGATTACTCACAAGTCAGGAGGTCACAAAGCTTTGCATAGAGGGACTGGTCATGTATTCCAGAATGACTGTAAACAACCTACTGGTAGAGTATCAGGTGATATGGTTTTAGCAGCCACAGGCATATACTCCAGTTCTTTAAATAAAGGCTTAGATCCCATGAAAAATTTCACTTCTAGAAGGACAGATACTGAAAAGCCTGATGTCTGCTACTGGTCAATACCAGCATTCAACAAAATTGGTACACAATACCAACTGTCGACATTCAAAATTCTTTTTATGTCCAGGTAGCATTTCCACTGCCTTTGATATGCACAGACAAACAAACACTCTTCATGAGACTGCAGGCTGTGGGGGCTATTTCTAAATTTCCTTGCAACAGGGAGAGTAAAAAGTCTGATTGGTGTTCTTAATGGTAGGCAGGCAATCCTAAGATGCAGCTCCAAAGCTGTATGTAATTATTCTCAGAGAAGATCAACAGCACAGATCAATGTATAACAGCAGCTTTCCTCCTGGTAATTTTAGACATGAGATGTCTGGAGGACCAAGGCACTTTATAAGAGGAATGTCTCCAAGTTCTTTAGAATAATGTGGACATTCTAACAAATAAGAGAGAGAAAAAAGCTAATAAAGCAGACCCAGAAGCAAAACTTTGAAAACTAACAACTTTTTGGAAGTGGCATGTTATGTTGATGGTTTGGGCCCAGAACTGTACTACTGCAATGAGGCATGCCTAGAGATGTAACAGGCTACCAGAGACACATCCACTGTCCACACTGACAACATCCCATCCCTAAGGGGCAGCTGGCATTCCAGCAGCAGCCTGGAATCTGAAGGGTGATGCAGCCAAGCAGAAATGAAAGGGGGAAAACTTATGATCCCTGTTGTATGGATATATGAAAACTTTCCCAATAAGAAAAGTTTAAAAACCTTGTAAATTAAATGTAAAACCATCATGACATCAGGAAGTGTCTTTCCTTCTCCAAGCACAGGCCAAATCATTCTATTGGAAGAAAAATTATTGTTCCATAAAGAAGCTTTTTAACAAAATAAAAAAGTCAGGCTTGAACAATCTTGCAAGAACAAATTATAACTTGTATTTCTTCAAAAACCAAGGAAAATATTTAAACAAAAGGAGAAATGTCATAATTATTTTGCTGATAAACTGCCTTATTATACAGAATATTAGTAAGAACTAAATAAAGAACAACCCACATAAAATCCAAAGAAATTAGGACAGTCTACCCTTGATTTATATATTTTACAAATGATGGAAAAAAAGTATTCTCTTTTTCTCAAATAAAACAGGCCATGAAATACAAACACTCCATTTAAATGTAACTCTAATGAACACTTCTGAGGGAAGAAAGGAACTGACAAAATCATAAAAAAATAAACCTCACAAGATTTTGCTTAGTTAACTACCACAAAATTTAACTGTGAATTACTCCTCAAAATAACAGTACTTTAACAGTCTTGTTCTTGTTATGTCAGCAAGTTAGAATTTGATGCTTCAACTAAAAAAATTTGGTACTGGGACTTGAATGAAGGGATTATTCTAACTAATAAAAAGTATGCACTCAAATTTAAGCACCAAAGCAAAAAAGAGAGCTAACCTGGCACCCACTGAATTGTTTCTAAACATCTGAATAAAGAGTAACATTAAACATTTCATTTCAACATTCACCTCTTTTTGCTTTTTGATGATGACAGAAAATTCCGTGTAGGGGATCCTTGGATTTAATTCACATCCCATTAATGTGGCACCCTCATAATCTTTGATGTAGCCAACATATTTTGCTTTTGGTACTTTAATATCTTTGGAGAAACCCTGACAAAGAAAAAAAAAAAGAACTTATATTGTCATTATGCCATTTTCCTTTTACGTTTTTATTTTAAATGAAATGAATGAGGATTGAGAACCAAATTCATCATAATGTTAAAATACAAAAAATACAACAGTGAGTTACAGACCATGGTTCAGAGTTGCACAAACCCTCTCATGGGAGTCACTTGATAAAAGAATAGTTAATTACTAAGAAGGGCGATAGGGGAGATTGTATTAATTTTGAATGTGTGAAGAGTAGATTGTACCAGTTTTATATACAGAACCATAGAACTGGCTGGAAGGAACTTGAGGAGGTCATCTAGCCCCATCTCAGCTCAGAACAGGTTTCATCATATCTGGCTGATTGAGGCCATGACCAGTTCAGAATATTGTAAAAGGACAGAGATTCCACCACCTCCCTCAGCAACAATTTTCAGTATTTCACCACCCTCAGGACAAGAAAGGAAAAAAAAATTTCCTTCTACCTGCTTGCAATTTCCCACTATTCGGGTCATCTTCACTGCGTAATGCTGTACACCTCTGAGAAAAATCTGACTCCATTTTGCTGACCAGATAGTTGACACTTGTTTATCAAATCTATTTGACAGAACAGACATTGCCATCTTTCCTGAATTTGAACCTCACACTTCAAATCAGGAGGAGCTGTAAGTGCAGGTCAGGTAAGTTTTCATCTCTCACAGGTATGCCTAGTCCTTCTTTGTACTTCTTATAGAATCAGAGAATGAACTGACATTTTACTAGTTTTAGACTACATAAATTATAGACTATACCATCTACTTATGTTCAGCTGATTCTATCAAAGTAAAATGTATTAGAAGTCAAAAACATTACATGGGATGAACACAGGGCATGTAAAGATTTTATAGATTAAAAACACACATGTAAAATTTCACTATGCATTGTATCCAATTACTTTGTCATGCCTAGTTATTTAGTTCAACCCTGCTAGATATAAAACTTCTCGCACAAAGTAATTTAGTTGCATTGAACTTACTTGTTTTTTGAAGTAGCCGATAGCATATTCGTCTGCATACGTGAGAAAGTTGAGAATGTTGTGTTTGATGTGGTACTCCTTCAGATGGTTCATTAGGTGAGTCCCATAACCCTGTGTGAAACACAGGAGGAAAAAGTCATGACAAAGCCTTTGGGGAATGCACATGTTAGAACCTGGGGACCCAGGGTTATTATACACTGTTTTTCAAAATGCAATCCTTCCTTCAGATCCTGTTTAAAAGATTTTCTCTTAATTAATTGGGTGTTGCATACTCAAGAGCAAACTCTTTTGCGCCTTGTAGGGGTACCTTTGTGACCCAGCATGGAAGTTGTAACTCAAGGTGCCCACCTCGTTCTTTTTTTTTTTTTTGTTCCACTTTTAAATTACATATCAACCATTAAAATCACATCACCCACAACAAAACTGCACATACTGCAACAATAGAGCATCCTTTCTGAGCCATATAATTTCAAAACTACAAAGCAGTAGCAATACTGAAATTATTCCAGTGTTCTGTGCACCTGTAGCAAAACAGTCTCTGTCTCAAGGGATTTATTAACTAAGCTTATCATAAAACATAAAAAGGAACAGTGAACAATTACCATAATAAGGAGCAGAAAATTATAGAGTCCACAATCAAATAAAAAGCTCCACCTTCTGACTGCACACAGGCATGATTTCCATTTAAATTTAGCCCCAAAGTAAACAAAAAGCTGCATTTATTCACATTGACAGGGAAGCTATAGTCACCCCCTTCTGCTGTGATATGAAGAAATGTAAAGTAGATAGGTAAGCCCATAATAATGTTTTGCTCCTGCATATGTTTCAATTTTCTCACCATGCAGACACTAACAAGACACTTAGAGAAACATACAATCCTTTTGGTTACTCTGCTCTTAAAAACTAGGAAAACTTTTACTTATGTAAAAAAGCCAGTAAAATGAATTAGAAAATACAAACTTCTGATTTAATTTACAATTTCATAGCCCCAAATATGGCAATTGTCAGATAGGAAACTCAGGCACTTACCGTAAAACTTAAAATTATTTTGTAACAGGAGACCAAACCACCTCAAAACCAATTCAATTTGTATGGGAAAACAATTCCTATATTTTTTACTCCAGCCTCAAAGTGAATTAAAATAGGAATATATTTTTCCTAAGATCTGGCAGGTCACCCATGTGTGAACATTTTTTTTTCCTCAGTTACCTGTTGACAGGGTCAGCTCACTCAGAGCAAAAAGCAGGAAGGCAAATGTTCAGAAACACTCAACTGATACAGCAAAGCACCCAGAGGATAAAATAAATGAACAGTGTGTTATGCAGCCCTGGGGACACTCTGATGGGTCAGAATTATCTGCTCTATTATTTTGAAAGATTATTCCTAGAAAATCACAACCCACCTTTGGCAGCCTCACCTGCGTAGTGCAGTTAAGCACAACCTAGGCATCTTCTGTTCTGGTTTGCATTTGCTAAAACACTCTGAATGCTGACAGGTCATTGCATAATGTACGGAAATGCTCCTCTCTAACACCAGAGTTGAATAAAATCAAATATAACCTGAGCATTAACAGCTGTTGCAGACTTTCAATCCCACTGTGTTACTCTTTTGCACCAGGGTGTACAATTTTTGCATGTTAACTGCTATACACTTTAAGTTAACCCATGTCTCAGCTCCTGCTTCTTGAAATGAAAATCATGAAGCTACAGCACCATCTAAAGGCAAAACACTGAACCAAATGGTGAGTAGCTGGAAAAGATGGAGGAATCTCATGTATTCATACTGCTCTGTATTTTTTCAGCACAGATGCTAATTCTGAGAAAATGTTGTGGCATTAACTCAAAAAAGAGTATCCAGAATTGACCCTGTGCTTATTTTGAGATGTAAAACTGCACGTAATATTTTTATTATATGTCATTTGGATTGAAGTTTTGTAGTGTCACAAAATTCTTGAACACAAATTACTGCCCCACACAAGGAATACACATTTCAGTCAACCACGAGATGTTACACTACACAGAGACACAGCTGCTGGGGACAGAGGCATGAAAAGTCCAAGAATGGCAGACTACTGGCCACTATTGCTCTGATGAGAAAAATTTTATTTAATTAATTAAATACAGGTAATCCTACTATTATAATAATAATGCTAAATCTGCATATTTTATTTTGTTTTTTGTGTTATTATATTTGGAATGTCTGTATCTTTCAAAATCTATTTCTGTCTGGCAACTCAGCAGTATATTCAACATGACTAAAATATTAGGAGCATATGCAGTGGGTGAATGGGATTCAAATCCATTTACTAAACACTTGCAATACAGAATTCTTTTTACCTTGACTTGCTCATTGGAAGTCACAGCACAGAAAACAATCTCTGTAAATCCTTGGGAGGGGAACATCCGGAAGCAGATACCACCGATAACACGGCCATCTTTTATTAATGCAAGGGTTTTATGTTTCCTGAGCAGACAAAAATAACAATCACTTTAATTCATGTACATAGTACATCAAGTGCCATTAACCTTCCCTTTTCAGAAACCTGATTCACTTCTTTCCATGATGATAATGCAATTCTGTATGCCTCCTAAGTTAGCCATTTGTATCTGCAGAAGAGTTGTTACTTTAATATCATGCTTTCAATATACCATAAAGGTGATCATCATAGAGCAAGCTCCTGGCCTTGCCAAGAACTCTGAGATATTCAGGTAATGCCCAGTAATTGGGCATTGGTGTAACTATCAACAATAGATTCAATATAAAAGTTGTATTGCTTTCATTGAATCTATTGTTGATAGTTACACCATTGCACAATTCTCAGGATGATTTTATCCTGAGTAAATTAGAAATTAATGGAGTTACAGCAGATCAAGTCCTTTCTAAGGGATTCCTGTTTCCTTGCATGCACTCTCCATTGTTAACCTATCAGTCTCAAATGCAGCTGATGAAGTAAGAGAGGACATTTCTTTTTTCTAATTATCCACTCCTCTGGGAATCAAGACCAGAATAAACATCCATTTCTGTTGCACTTATAGTGACTGCCAGGAAAGATGTAGCAAGATGCAATCTCAACTCTTATGTCAAGGATTATGAATTTTAGTATAATCCTCAAGGTGTGAAAACAATACACCATCCTTTTAGATTATTCAATACAGTATCATATAAATCATATAAATTATACAGTCAATATACAGATGATGTATTTTGGGGAAAAAAAAGTTGGTGCCCAAAAGTAATCCCCTGCCAAAAAGCCCAAAGAGTAGTTATATTGTATGTGTCTCCATTGAAGAAGATTTTATACATATTATATATTCTTTCTTTTTCTTGTACATATTTTAGTGCTTTTTTTCACTTGTGGAATGACAGCAGCAATGCAGTAGCTTGAGCTTTTGTGGTGGTTCTGCCCTGGCTGGATGCCAGGTGCCCACCAAAGCTGCTCTATCACTCCTCTCCTCAGCTGGACAGGGGAGACAAAATGTAATGAAAGACTCAGGAGTTGAGGTAAGAGCAAGGAGAAATAACACAACAATTACCACCACAGGCCAAAGAGACTTCACTTGGGGAAATTAGCTGAATATATTACCAATCAAAATCAGAGCAAGATGACGGAAAGTAAAACAAATCCTAAAACTATCTTTCCCCTCCTCCTTCCTGATTCTCTACCTTCTCTCCCAAGCAGTGCAGGGGGATGGGGAATGGGGTTAGGGTCAGTTCGTGTTGTCTGTGTCACAGTTTCCTCCTCAGGCAGAGGAGTTCTTCCCCTGCTCCAGTGTGGGGTCCCTCCCATGGGCTACAGTCCTTCAGGAACTGCAGTAGCACAGGTCCCTTTCCATAGGGACACAAGTCCTGCCAGCAAAGCTGCTCTAGCAGGTAGTGTGGGCAACTATCTTCACAGAATCTGCCAGGAGCTGCTCCAGGGTGGGCTTCCCACAGGGCCACAGCCCTTCTTCAGGCATTCACCTGCTCCAGCATGGGGCTCCTTCACAGGGACGTGAGCCTCCCCAGGGTGTTCACCATGGAAGGTTAAACTGCTGGAGCAGTTCATGAAGAACTGCAGCCTGTGGGAAGGACTAATGTTGGAGAAGTTAATGGAGAACTGTCTGTTGTGGGAGGGATCCCATACTGGAGCAGTTTGAGAGTGTGAAATCCTTCCCTGTGGAGGAAGAAGCAGCAGACGCCACATGGGAACTGACCATGGCCTCCATTTCCCATCCCCCAGCACTGCTTGGAGGAGAAGGCAGAGAATCATGAATGCAGCTAAGCTTGGAAAGAAGGGAAACATGGGGCAAAGATATTTTAAGATGTAGTTTTTATTTTCTCATTATCCTATTCTGATCTGATTTGTAAAAAATTAGAGTAATTTTCCCAAGCTGAGTCTATTTTGCCTGTGATAGTTATCAGTGAGTGATCACTCCCCCATTCTATCTAAGAACTTTGTACTTTCTCTCCCCTGTCCAGCTGAGGAGAGGAGCAATGGAGCAGGTTTTGTGGGAATGTGGCATCCAGCCCATGTTAACCCACCATGGACCCACAACAAGAAGCCACTTATTATTAATACAGCCACCAGGATGGCACTTGGGTACAACCCATTTAGATTGACCAGGAGTTATGAGAGCTTGAAAAGATGGCAAAAGCGTAGCACAGGCAGAGCTGCTCTCCACCCCTCCTCTGCTGCAAACAGCACCAGACTCCCTCTGCCTCACTCTCCAAGGATACCCACGGATCAAAGACCAAGCGGGTGATGTATTCCTTCGGCATTCGAGGCAGCTGATGGGAGAACACATTCTGCAAACCAACCAGCCACATCATGATCTTCTTGTTGGGCTTCTGGTTCAGGGAGTTGCCGACCACATGGAACTCGATCACGCCCCTGCGCTCCTCCAGCCTCGCCGCCTCGTCCCGGGCCGAGTGTGCCGAGAGGAAGTTGGTCTGTACCACACAAACGAGGAACAAAATCACAGCTTTGAGATTTCACATCATCTGACAGAACAGCATTAATGAACAAACCACTAAAATCCACTCTCTTTTTCCAACAGGACTGCCAATGGCTGCCTTTGTAATGTAGCTTTGCAGAAGGGACACCATCAAATAAGCCAGATGTAAGTCTACACTACAGTCTGTAAAGGCCAATCTGAATTTATATTGATACAGATTAGAAACAATAATGATGGATATGACTCAAAAAGTTCCAAAACCCCTTGAGGGACAGCACACATCTGGTTGAAGCCTATGCCACTAAGTCTTCATATTTATTTTACTCTTAGCCAGCTTGGGCATGACTTGTGGATTCGCCCACACATACTGCAAATCACACATTTTAATGGCAGTGCAGGAAAAGTCAGGTTTTTTTTCATTTTATTAGTGCTTTCCACTATCTCTGCCACTACTGTAATAGCCGAAAAAGATTTTAATTCCTACAGAATTTGCTGTAACATATCTAGCCATTGCATCTATATATCTAAATTCAGATTAAATTAATACAGAAATTTATTTAGCTTATTTTTTTTCAAGATCAATTTACAATGCCAAAACATCTCTGTATGCACATACTGTTTACTTTTTTGAGCAAAGTTTGGCTGCTGGGTTTCGAGTCACTGCCAGCCCCAACAGCCAGGCTGGCAAGCATTTGTAATATGCAGAGCCATCAGTCACAGCACATAGTTTGAATAAGAAATGTAGGTGGTTCCAAATCTTCAGCAGTTTCTAACTAAATCTTGGCAAATGAGCTGCTGGCAAAACATAGCCTGGCAGAGAGAACAGAAGGAGGAAAAGCCAGCCAAGGAAAAAAAAGTGCAATTCTGTACATGGCACAATTCCGCAATTCTGTTTGTTTTTCTCTTCCAGACAAAAAAAAAAAAGAGCAACTGGGGAAGACAGAGTAAATAACTGTTTAGATCAGTTTCTGCATCAGAGGTTTTAACTTTGGATCTCTCATTCTGCTGCAATTCTTGAACCCTACTTAACCTTATCTTATGAGCTGCATCTATGATTAGCAATAAAAAAACATACTCTGGAATCATTCTGTAACAAAAGCACCTTGCACAATAACCTGAGATCTATGTTTTTACTATCAATAGTTTACAAGTCTCTTTGCTAACTGCACACAATGCATTAAAAAAATCTGTAGAACTATTTTTCATGTTAATGTTGTATTTCACCGGTATTTTTTGTTCACCTAATCATACCCTTTCAAAGTCTCTTTTGTTGACAGAACTCCTAGCTTATCACATTCTATCCATGTGGAACATTTACTAAAAACAGACCATTCACAAACAGACCATTTGCAACACCAAGTCTATATCTCACCTCTGGCCCAAGCATTGCTGCAGGATCTGTAATTGTTGACATTACTTCGTTGATTAACTCAATAGGGATATCTCCTACAACCCTTGGTCTTTTCGAATCCTCCAGAGAATAGGGTTCATTATTTTTTCTCTTTTCTCCTATAAGACAAAATTTGGACAAATTAGAAATGACCAAAATGTCACAGACTAGCACTGTGAAGTCTAGCACTTCTGCCATATCCTGTAGTTTATGTGACAAGTTTGAGGTTGGGATTTTTTTGTTTGGTTTTTTTCATGTTTTTTATCCCTATAGACAAAGAGAAAGAGAAATAAATTATACCTGAAAAATATTTATCACTTCTCAATTTCAGCTTTGCACTGGGGTATTAGCATGAAGCAGGAAAAATATACCTCTCCTTGCACTATACCTCTGTGAATTCACAGTTAAACCATTTGCTTTTTCTTTTGCTTCAAAATCCTCTGCATGGAACATCTGTGCAGCTGTCCTGGAAGGTCAGTGCTCAATACACAAATTGCAGTGCCTATTTCTTGATAACATGAAATCCCCCTTTTAGGATTCACTGGAACTAAGTATCCATCATATAATTCTTTCACCTCTTCTGTAAACCAAGCAGCACATGCAGTCTGATGTGTCATACATATTTAAAAATCCATTAAAAAGTTCCAAATCAAAATATCCTAAGTATATTAGTATATTTTAACTGCCCTACTGACTGCAGAACCACTTGTATTATGTAGCAAAATAAATTAGTTAAATTCATAGAATAGTCCAGCAAGGACTAGCAGAGGTGCAGCAACAGAGATCCAGCTGCTAGCTCAGGATTATCCCACTCATCATCCTACTCATTCCTACTTCTGAGGAACAAGTTGAGAAATGACCCTAAGGAAAACTGCAGTTTAGGAGTTGCCCTAAGTTTCTCTGTAGTGAACACTGAGACTAAAAATTCACTTTGGTTTTGGCTTTTCTCCTTGAGGACTCACTTTACATAAGCTTGGGATCATCTCTCTGACCTATCAACCTCTCTTGACAGGCTCATTAATCCTGAGGTGTTTGAAAAAGGATTTATTAGGAGAATTTATACATCCACCAACTCTTTTCCTTATAAGGTGTTTTTTCTTTGACCTAACCTCATTCAGGTTTTAAATTTAACTGAGTTGGTACATCTGCGTTTTTCTTCACTGCTCAAATGTATGCATTTTCAGTACCTTGAAAGATTAAAAAAACCAAATGTGGTGGGTCCTTCTACTCTGCCATAATTTAAATGAAACCTCTCCTCATGGCTTATAGTAGATGTACTCCAAGAAAATAATTTTTCAAAAACCTCTGACACCACCAGGCCTGTCCCAAATTTAATTTAATTTAAACAAACCAATTGGTTTTTTTGTAAATACAGTTGTGATTTCTGTTAGTTAAACATTACCATAGCGGAGAAAAAGGCATGTGTGTGCAAATCTTTCAGCAAAAACACCTCAAGTTTGCTAATGCAGAGTGAAAGCAAAGGTCACCATATACTGCAACTACTGATAATATCAACAGAAGTCAAAAGGCAAGACTCCATTACCTAAGTTTGGGTCAAGGGCAGAAGAAACTTTACAAGCTGGACTCATATTCCCAGTGTTGGATTGCTCCAGAGATGAAGGACTTGCACTGTATGCAACAGATCTTGCAACAGGAGGTGGACTGATAACTGCAATGACACAAAAACAAACCACAAAAAGAGCAGGTAGGTCATGGAACCATTCTGGTGCTGATGGAAAGATTGTCACAAAGACAGACACCCACCACCCAAAAAGTAACAGCGAACACTGTGCAACAGAGCAATGCCACCACTTCACAAGTATAGACATTAAAGCTTTATCTCAGTGTATATTTCTAAACTAAATTCTACCTAAGGAGGGACTTCTGGATAACAGGTATTGCAAACATCAGGCTTCATTAGTTCACAGTTCTGAGCAGAAGCTAAGAAAACAAACTTCCTTCACACACCTGCCAAGCCTGCTGGCATTTAGATTCATGAAAAGGTTTTCTGTAGGGCTCTATTGAAAACCAAAATCTCATCATTCAGCTTCATCTGTCCAATTTACAGTGCTCTAAGACTGGTTGCACCAATCAAACTCAATAAAGGGACAAGTTGTTTCACCAATTAAGAGCGTGAAACTATTATTTTAAAAGGTCACAGACTAACACCTCTCTCTAATATATATATACATATAAAAAAAAAACCCCCATTAGTAATAAATCACACAGTTTTCATTTGTGTTACCCACTACTAAATGCAAATTACCTGTTTGGATTCCCAGCTGGCCAGTTCTTGAACTGGACACCATGAAATCCTGATCCCAAATGGGAGAATTCTGGCTGTACACTTCTTCTTCCAGCATAGACAGAAACCTAGGCACAAAATCAGGCAAAATATCAACTAATGGGATCATTCCAAACAGGTTCTTTTTCAAAATAAGCACTTGAAATGTTTTTAAATTTAAAACATTTACTAAGTCAGTAAAAAAATGCCGTTGGCCAATGCTATTAAAAAAAAACAACAAACCATACATGCAAAAATCACAAGCCAGAGTAGATACAAAGTATCATAATTCAATAGAGGGCTTTCACTTACTAAACCTTACCTCTGATAACAAGCAGTAGTTATCTAATTTGCAAGTGCAGAAAAAGACAGTTACAAACTATTTTTACAGAACTAAACTTCGCTAATGGGAAAGCTATGAGTTGATTGATGTTATAAAATGATGGCAAAATATGTCTGTTTTGATAAATCAGTATTTTGCGGATGCATTTGCTTTCTGTCATTGATAGAATCCCAACATTAATAACAATGCTCTTAGGAAGATATTTTCACTCCTTTAAGTGTTCTACTGTAACTTCTAATTGCATGTTGTGGTTGCATAACAGTACTTTTAACCTTACTCTGGTACAGCTACAGAAACAACATGATGTTAAACTTCTCTTAGCATTATTGAATTCCACAGATCAGACTCCAGCACCCTCACCCTCTCAGGCCTAACACACCAATTCCCTCCCAGCAGCAAGACAGCTGCTTGTCCTACGTTGCACAAAAGGGGTTTTCAGATCAGAAGTTGACATGGCACATTTCTACTCTCTGGAGTCATCTACATTTATAGAAACTGTTCAGCTGAAACCAGCAGGACGGTTGGGTAAAATTCCCTTGAACAGGATAGGGATTTTCAGGATCAAGTCAGACTCTGATATTGTATATATAGAACAGCTATACCTCAGCAATGTGCAGAGTTTGCTGCTGTCTGTACAGCTGATAATGGCTGAAAAGTTTGCAACAGTGACCTGACCATCTGTGACAGAGCAGAAGGACTAATTCAACTTTAGCCAAAGCTCCATTTCCAGGCAGCACAGAGGTTCTGCCTTCAGCCCCTTTAGCAGCTCCTTCCTAGGTATGCAAAGACACAAGCTCTGGGTGCTCCTTTTGCCCAAAAGAAGAGCCCAGGGCAGAGGGGGGCCCTGTGCCAATGCCAGGATCCATGCTCTGAGACACAGGTCCTCTGCAGGGCTCACTCAGAACAATGCCAGAGGAAAGACAAATGCTTCAGACAAGTACAGCCCATGAAAGATTTAAAACGTTATCCATGCTTCCCACAGATCATCTGCAAACAGTACTTGTCTTTTTTTCCCCAGCAGAATACCAAAAGGAATTTCAGTGAATAATAATGCTTTTCAAATTACTGCAAAAGGCTTTAAAAGGCAGTGGAAATGGGCATGTTCACCTGCTTCCTCCACAAATCTGCTCCTTGCATCAAAGGGGTGTCAAGTCCTTTTCTATATCTGTTTCAGGGCCTGTAAACAGTCTACCCCAAAGACAGTGTACCTTTTTAAAAGTGGTAAAATAAATTAGTAATTATAGAAGGAGAAACAAACCCTGGCTCTACTCAGCTTAGGAAAGTTCATGTTGTTTTTCATTCCCCTGAGCTCTAACCCATCTTCTGACCCAACACAGTAGCTTGCATACATAGCATCAGTGCCACCAGGTCTTCTGTAGGTTCAGTTCATTTGTTGTTAGGAGGGACAGACTCTTAAAGTATGACTTGGAGAACCAACCTACCCTTGTAAAATAAGAATATTTTTAAAGTGATACATTATTTTAACAGGAATTCATTACAATGAATGATCCTGTCATCATCATTACCCCTCTTTACGACCACTAAAATGTTTGAAATTAATGACTGTCAAAGTTGAGCATGTTTCAATACCCCTATAGGTAATTACTGCTGTTTTATTGCAAGAGATTGTCATCAACATTCCAGTACTGGAAAAGATATTCTGTATGAAATTTATGAGTTTAGGATTGAATTATGTGGTTTTATACTGACTCCTCTCTAATAACCCCAACTCTTCTAGGGGTGGGGTGACTACTTCATTCACTATTAAAATGTTAAATTAAACTGAAATTCTTATAAATTCTGTACAACACTGCCCCTTTTTAATGCTCCATCACCAAAGCAGATGGGAGCATGTTTTTGGAAGTCCATTGTTTCCAAGGACTACAGAAAAAGAAAGTAATTGACGTACAATATCAGCTAACAGGCAAACAGTACAATCCCCCAACAATATGAATAATCCTTTTCCTAAAGTAAACCCTAGCACAAAATAAAACGAGCAGCTGTGTACACAAAATACACTAATCCAAGTTATGGTAGTAAAGAAAGCTGCAGTATCTAGTTGCTACTGAATAAAAAGATAAATTATTTTAAGCTGCAGGTAATTTCTCTCTTTCCACAATGAAGTTGCTGGTTAACTTTGAATGCAGGCACACTGTGACCCCTTACTTTGGAAAATGAGTGAGGATTAGTGTTCGTTTTTCTTGAGGAAGCTTGTCTTTTTCCTGCCTGGCCTGCTCCAGCAGTTGTCGTCTCATTACAGTAAAAACAGAGCGAAGCAATGTCCTACCAAAAACCTGGGTGGTTTCATACCGAGGTAGACTGTCACAAAACTGAGGGACATTGCAGTAACAAAGCCACCTGTAAAGAGGAAAAAAGCCAGATCATTATCACCATCATGACTTAATGCAATAAAACCACTACTCACATCATTTACAATGCAGCTGAGAGCCATATGACTGTATAAATCAGTTCCACTACAAGGCTGGACAGAGTTAAGCAGCATTTATATTGCCCAGTTTTTCACAGAAATGACAACCAAGTACTTTTAAGTTTCCATATATTATTTTTCTCTGCAGTTAGTTTACACAAAGTGCTCTTGCTCCAGACAATAATCACGGATTACAGACAATTCATGGGTATGTCAGGGATTCTCTCCACAGCTCATCTATTCAGCCTCACACATCTCCTGCCACTGACCCCAAAGACCCCCAGCACAGCCTGTTTTACCCTCTAAACTTTTACCTTTCCCCATATAGAGGCCAAATGGGTGACATTTTAAACTAGCTCCATCCCAATCCAACTGGATTCCTGCCCTGGTCTTCCACCAGTTGGCTTCTTCCCATCATACCCTGCCTTGTTACTCTTTCATTGCCAGTATCTCCATCCATAATAAACTTTGCACTGAGGAAAATTACAGCATGTCACATTTCTTTTCTAGGAAAAGAGATTATGGTACCAAAGAGATAACTCAGAAGTACGCTGACTATGTACATCAGCAATATCTGTTAATTCTATAAACTAGATTTTGATATCTGTGTGTAAGTGAACAGTCATTGGAATCTGGACCTTCAGCAGAATCAGACCACAACCACTATGAAAGATCCAGCAATGAAAAGAAAATATTAGGAATTGGATGCAAACACACTGTGCTGGATCCTGCACACATTTCCTCATCCAGACCCAAAGTACAGCCTGTCTCGAAATGTTCTCCCAAGCTCTTGCGCCTTAATCTTTGCAAACATGGGTTGCAAAAGACTTGTGAGATAGAGCTGTTCACAGACTTCTACTCCCTGTTCTTGGCTGATAAAGCACAGGTCTCAAAACACAAGAATGCATGTGAAACTCTGATACAGTTTCATTCAAATCCTCAGGTTCTCAAATGAAATTGGTGACTGCAAAAATTCAGGTGTGCCCATGGTGCCCAGCAGCGCCCTGAGCAATGCCTCAGACGCAGAGGACAGAAGCTCACAATGACAAGTGAGATTTGGTGGGAAGAGCACTTTGGGTCATGGAGGGACCTTAGGAACTGTGGGCAGGATAGTTTGAGAAAACACACAGGACAAAATAATTAACAACAAAAAGCCACCAACCAGAACCAATTAGATATCGATTCCTAATAAGATTTAACTCCTACCACCCCTGGCTGACGCCACTTATCACCAAATGGAGGTCAAACATCCACCACACATGGTCTTAGGAGCACCATGGATTATACATGTCCTTTATGGTGACAGGATACCTGGACCAGACATAGCACAGTCTACTCTGTCACCAGCAGAGTCTCAACTCACACCAGGTTTGCTGCTGCTCTCCTCCCTGGAGAGGAGGTGTGTGAGAGGAAAGGCCACCAGGAAAGCAGCCAGAAGGTGGTGCTCACCCCGGGCCAGCAGAGATGTCCGGGGAGTTCCTGAGAACAGCGTGCTGACAGAGGTTAACTACCTGCTGCCTGACCTGCAGGACCCTGAACTGCTTTCACTGTGCTCACTGAAAAAGGCACTACACTACTCCTGTGAGAAAGAGAAAATAAACAGACACATGTCTTTTTATCCTAGCTCTTCATCCTCCAGTAACTCAGTTATTCCTTTGAATTCTAACAGTGCATTAAAAGGTCATAACAAGAACTATAATTTTAAGGAACCTAGTAATATCTGTTCCCCATTTAGCATTCAAGCACTTGCAAAATCATTTTGATTTTTCAACTCCTCTGCGATTTGGTTTCAAACGGTGATGCTAACAATGCTAAATCTTATCTCCTCTTTTTCTTTTTTAAGCTGAATAATAAATAGTGAAGTTATACAAGGCTCAAATATTAAGACCGAGAGCATTTCACAAACATAGACCTTGCAAAAGCATTGTTAGATACAAGTGTTCCAGACTCTACTCCCTGTTCTTGGCTGATAAAGCACATCTCTCAAGACCCAAGGATTCATGTCAAACTGATATAGTCTCACTAAAACCCCTAGGTCTTCATGTAAAATCCACGGTTGCAAGAATTCACAAGGTCCATCTATGGCATAAAGATACTGGTGTACTCCTGAAGTTTGTACATGCCATATTTGTAAAAAGAAGACTCCCAACAAGCAGAAGCAGCATTACCTGGTATAATTCACTTTATACCCTGCAATATCATCATTGGGTGATCTTAGTCTTCGCTGAGAAGGTGTCTCCAGGTGCCAGTAGTTAATGCGGTTCAGAAACATTTTAGCCAGTTCCACTATTGTTTGCCTTTCCTTCGAGGGTAAGTGGCTAAATTTGTACTGCACAAAATTATTCACACCCTTAAAAAGTTAAAAAAAAAAAAAGTTTAATAATTTAGCCATAATTTTTATAGGTGCATCTTCAAAACATTCCTCCCTTTATGTTTATCATGAACTTGCCATTGTGTGGGAAAGAAAATAAATATTGGAGACCATGAACTCCTTGCTCAGCTACTCATGCAGATGCCACAGGCTGGTACCTGTGTACACAGCAGGAGGTACATCCAGGCATTTTTAACCTGCTCTCAGCAGCTGATGGAAAGGGAAAGAAGAAGAAATTCATTTTTTCCTTCTTTCTCTATGTCAGTGAACATTGAGAGAAAGCTCTGGTAGATTTTAATCTATACATAAATCAACTATCACCCTCAAAACTCAACAGTTACTTTTCAATAATAGATTAGGGCTTATGGACTTCTACTTAAGTTTATGTCTACAAAACATATTATTTCTTCAAGAAGTCTTAATACTTCACAATCATGTCTCCTCTTTGCACTTTGGACACTGTCCAGTTTGAAGAAAAATCTACTGAACATGATTCAAATGGGTGACTAAAAGTGCTGCAACATATATATTTTATAAACCCATTATAACACCTGTGCTTAGCAAATAATTTTGTTTGATTGAGTGGCTGAGCTGCTAAAAATAGTATTGAAAATATTGGTCTTTTTTAAAGGGAAAATTATTTCAAAATAAGATGTAAAATAATTACCCTTTAATCTCTATGCTTTATTTTCTTAAGCAACTTGAACATCATGAAGAATTTGACAAAAAAATTGCATTGTACAAAACCTTTTAAATAGTGTATTTTATGGATTAGGAGTTTAGGAGGATTACATACACATTTTTTTGTTTATAGTCAAACTAAATGAGAACTTAGAGTGTAGACTTCTCAGAAATTCAGCAATAAAGTGGTTTGATCTTCCTACTCGATAAGAAGTGAGAGTTGCAAAAAAATAATTACTACAAGTAACAGTCTTTACATTTAAATTATCCTGCTTAACAATAGAACATCCATTCATCCACTGATGGGAAAACATGGAGCTCCTGTTTCAACGAGGTATGTGAGCCTCTGCCTAGTCTCACTGGAATTCATGGGTCCACTTGTCTGCCAGGAGTGCATTCTTAGGAGCTTGCTTAACCAAAAACTGAATTTGTCATATGTTCTTTATCTACTGAGAGTCACAAAAGCCTCAATTATTCTTTAGTTTCAGCTTTGTTTTTTTCTTGTGTACCCATTGAAAGAGGAGGCTATGATCTCACTGAATTGGACTGTAACATTTTTCTTGATATACAGAAGGCAAGCTTCATTTTAATATTGGATTTCAAAACTTCAACAGCATTTTTCATCACTTGAAACAAAGAAAGATTAGAACTGCCCACATAAAAGTAGAATTTCAAGTTAATTCTCTAAACCCACAAAAAGGTCAGTTTCATTAAAGCCTAAGACCAATGATGAGAAATAGAATACAAATAATGTAACTATTGTACAAACACTAAAAGGAGAACCAAGAGCAATCTCCTATATCCCCCTATTTTGTCGTGAGCAGAACACAGAAACATCTGCAAAGTGCCTAAATAAATGTCATGCTTTCAAAACCAGTGCTCACATTTACAAAAAGAAAAACAAACCACAAAAAAAAAATCCCAAAACAAACAAAGCCTCCAAACCCCTACCAAAATAAAATGTAAAAATATGTAAATAAACAACAAAAAAAACCCCACCACACGCCAATGAAACCCACATTTTGACCTCTTTACCTGTTCAATGCTAGGTTTCTCAAATGGGGGACTTTCCAAAGATCCTTCTACTACAGGTTTTCCCATCTGTAAAATGCACTTCCTCAGAAGCTGTTAAAAACACACAAATTTTTCAAAGTTAGTATATTTTCATACAGAGAGTCAGTGGAAGTCACAAGGGCACAACACACTTTGAGCAGTGTTGGAATTCTCCTGGCTATATACCTGCTTGTTTAATCACCTGAATTCGCAATTACTAAACTTCACTGTGAAATCACCTTCTCTGAAATGTGTACCAGAGGCTGCTCTGAGGAAATGCAGGCAGCCAAGTTACCATTCATGTCAACTGACTCTCCCTGGTATGCCAGTGAAGGAGGCTGCAGTTTATACATGGGACTCAGGGTCAGTTCCTCAATCATCTGGATGGCTTTTTGGGGTAAGAATCAGTACATTGCAAGTGCCAGAACATCCAGCCCACAGTTACTCAGTAGAGCATCATCCTAGAGAAAAACTGTCTCGGCAGATAAAGTCAGTGCATGCCCAAGTGGCAATGGAATTGGCTTATGTGTGAGAAAGTGAAAAATCTGATAAGATACTCCACAAGTTCAGCTTACTTTGAACAGGTAGAAATAAACTTGCTTGGTGTCTGCATCTTCTTCTTTGTGTACACAGGTGAACAGATATTCCACATCCAACACAATTCCCAGGAGCCTGTTCATTTCTTCTTCAGACACATTCTCCAGGTGAGAAACATGAGCAGCTAAACAAAATAAAAAGCCAAACTTGTAAAAGGCTACTGAGAGGACCCACAGCACAGCTGTATCCCAGGAGATCTCCAACTGAGCCTCAACTGTGAAGGCACTGACCCTGTAATAACCTCTTTAAACAGAACACACCTTATCAGAGGTAACTGAAACCTGTGTCACATCTGAGCAGTTTGTAAGGGCTGACCAGGGGTGACAACTTCCACAGCAGAGGAATGGCAGCTGCTTGGAATCACATCATCTGTTAACACTTAAGGCTGACCACACAAGTCCTGCTTGTATTAATATGTTGCACTATGCAACTAACTACATACATTTTTGTCCTAGAGCTATGTATTTGAGACAAGGTTTCTTGACTTAAGAAAATAAATCCAGAATTTCCATAAATTATGTAATCCAGATGTAAGCAGCACCTTATTTTGGGAAAAGTGAAAAAACCCCAGTTCCAAAAAATGCCTTTTTGCTTTAAAGTGGGCATTATTGGCTAAGTCCCTTGCTTTCACATCATGTAAAATCAAACTGTGCTTTGTGCACACTATATTAACAGAGATTTTGCAGACTGTACGTGCTCATTTGTTCATTTCCAAGTGACAAACTCCCTTTTATCATCTCCAAAGGTAAATAGAGTTCCACATCTGTAATTTTCAAAAGCTTGAGGTTTCTCCCTGTAAAATGGGACATTCATTTCAAGCTGGTTTGAACAAGTGGCCCGGGGAAGAAGGAAGGCAGTGTAAAACAAAAAGTCAACTCCCAGAAAGAAGATATTTGCATTACAAAAAGCAATGATCTTAGCTGACTCCAGGCCAATGTAGATGGTATGCATATCCTTTCCTCTGAAAGTACAAGAAAATATCCTTTCAAAGAAAGAGAAAAATACTTTTATGTTCAGGAATATTAACTTTTTATATTTTAATAAATTTTATCTATATTTACTTCTTAAGATTAACATATTTTTTCAATGGAAATCTGACTCCTTACTGGGGAGCTAGTGAGGAAAAATAACACTTGAAAATGATCACATTTATTGGCCACGCAGCAAAGATGGTTGTTTTGAGAAGTTTAGTATGATACCAAAACGTTTAAATTCAATATCTTTATTTGGCTTCAAGTAAAAAGTACACTGTAATGCAGAACTTTAAAAGTATGACAGCAACTGTTTCCACTTAAATGAAAATTTATAATATAGTGTCTTAGGCACATGGCCATCACAAACCTCCCTTGAGAATAAATATTCTGTGCAGAATAAAATCATTTAACTTCCATCCTTAAGACAGGTATGAAGGGTTAATATTCCCAGCAGTCTGTCTTGATCATTTGCAAGCAATAAATATCCTCCTAGAGAGCTTTGCTTTAGAAACTGATAACATACCAAAGAAACCTTGCCTTCAACATATGAATAAAACATCAGCATAAGAAGCCATTTCTATGCAGTTTCCATAACAATACTGAACCTTGACTACTTAGTGGTGTTTAAACATTTTATTAAACTAGAGAATTATTACCTATACTGTGAATCTAAAAGTTAAGTATATTACCAGCATGTATTTGTCAAAGGGATGCCAATGTTCATATACCAGGCCAACAAACTATCTTTATTCAGATATTCACAGCCCATTGCCAAACTCTATGGCTGTTCATAAGTGTTTTATTAAAATTAAAGATTTGGTACATTGACATCAAATACTGCATCACTCTTGACTAGAGTTACACAGTTCCAATCAATGCACTGCCCAACTGGTACACCTTTCCTCAGTTGCTGTTAGCCTGAAAAATATTAAATATCTCATGTATAGATTGCTAGGGCATGCACAAAAAAGCAAGCAGAAAGAACAAGGCTCAGTGACAGGAACATCTGCAACATCAGCAAGCAAGCATGGGAGTGCACAAATTAGGAACAGTGAAAAAACAGATTAACAAGGAATGTTTCCAGCCTATCTCAAAACACTAAACCCAAGAAATACCCAAATATGCTATGTGAAGGTACACAGCAGGAACCAAAGACAGTGAGGGGGAAAAAAGAGACTGAGTGTGTATACAGTTTTAACTAGTTTTAAAAGTGATTCAAGACTGACAGTGTTCACCAATTTAAAAATGCACCCTGCAACACAGCAGAAACAATCAAATAGAAGTCTCTGACCATGCAACACCTGGTCTTGTGGCTGGTGGACAGTGAATTGTTCCAGCATCTAATCCAGCCACACTGGATTTATGTTAGAAAATATATCACCCAAATAAAAGAAATACTCATTAAAACAACCACACTGATCCAAACTGTGGGGCTGAGCACCAAAAGGAGGAATATATATGTTGTAGATAAGTAGACAATAATACACACAATCAAATAGATTCATGCACCAAAAGCTGCACTGGCTTGAAGATAAAACAACACTCCCAGAAAGAGACTCCTCAAGCAAGATAGTATGTAGGATTACCTCTGGATGAAATAAATAAATTCAGAAAAGAAAAAAAAAGAGAGAAGAAAAATAAGAAAAGAAATCCTACATTTTTACATCATGTACAGCTTTAAGCAGCACATTCCTATATTGCTACTTCAATGGCTTTCTAAGAGGAAAAAGCAACACAGCTAATGTGAAGCCCACACACCTTGTGGTAAATCTGGTTTTAAAGGTGTTCAGCAGAAACACACTAATTTAGAAGAGATGAATAATAAAATTATCTTGGAAAACACAGCTGAAAGACATATTTTTCCAGTAGTATGAGGAAGCACACAGCAACTCGTTTGAGTTATTTTAAATGAAACATCTTCCTCATAAGGTGCAGTCAGAAAAAGTCTTTTCTAAAAAAAAAGCAGTAAAAAAAATACAGTTTCTTCATAAAATACTTTTGCTGGTTCCCTAGCTAAAGAATGATTTAATATTTTGTAATAGACTAAAACCAAGCCTAGCTTTTAGAAGGGCTGAGTTTTTCTACAAAATACAAAGCATCCACAAATTCTGCTGAAGAACAGAGAAGTGACAGGAACATCTTGCAAGTTTAAAAAAAAAGAAAGAAATAAAGAAAAAGCCCTTTCTTCAAAGGCAGGATTGAAAAGGAAGAGTAACACAAGCCACTCTAATTGCACAAACAGAAGCAGCACAGAGAAGCTGTGTGATGAAAAGTTGAAACTAACTTGGCTAAAGTGACTGAATTTTCTGTGATACTATGCATTTGTTAATCTTCTCCTGCAAGCAAACCCAGAGATTTGGAATACCAGGAAAAAATCCTGCTGAAAAGCCTAGAAATAAATGACATGTAATGAGAGCATAAAAAGAGGAGGGCAGAAATAGAAATAAATCCCATTAAAAAAAAATACAATACATTCAAAGTACAATATCCTTTTCTAAAGTAAAATAATAAATTATCTATTGTGAAGGTTTTAAGTTTCCCATTTCTTTATTTTTTTTTAAATTTCATTGTCCTAAGTTTTTGGCAGCAAAAAAATTAAATAGTAAGTGCTTCTTTTAAATTAGTTCTGAATTTTATTTTAGCTGAATTTTTATTCAGTATTTACTAAGAAGGATGTGAATCTATGATGGAGCAAGTCGAGAAGAGAGCAATGAAGGTGATCTGAGGGCTGGAGCACCTCTCCTATGAAGTCAGGCTGAGAGTGTGGGGTTTTTCAGACTAGAGAAGGCTCCAGGGAGCTCTTAAAGCAGCCTTCCAGGACCCAAAAGTGGCCCCCAAGAAAGTCAAAGGGGGACTTTTTCAAGGACATTTAGTGACAGCAGAAGGGGTGGCTGCTTTAGATTAGTTTAGATTATATATCAAAAAAAGGGGTTTTTACTATGAGGGTAGTGGAATACTGGAACAATCTGCCCAGAGAGGTGATGGATGCCCCACCCCTGGAAACATCCAAGTTAGAGTTGGTTGGGGCTCAGAGCAATGAGATCTAACAGAAAGTATTCCTGCTGACTGTAAGTGGGCTGGACTAGATGATCTTTAAAAGGTCCCTTCCATCTCAAACTGTTCTGTGATTCTGATATATGCAGAAACAGCCATCAGCTTTTATTTTGGACAAGTATAAATTCTTAAAATAATAATACAGTGATTCAGCACTGTTTTTTCAGGCTACGTGGGTAACAAATTGTTATTTATTCTAAGTCTGAAAACAAAACCAAAAACCACAACAGTATTTAACAATGGATTTTGAGCTGTTGCTTCCAAGACACGCAAGCTGTCTGCACAATAACTCAGACCATGCTAAGATGTACAACCGTAGTTTTATTTTCTGCAAAAAACCAGTTCTTTTTGCAGGTCAGAGTACCTGCTTCAGCAGTGTTCAAGAATATTTTATGCTTTGTTTTAAAGTAAGGAAACATAATACAGCCTACAGGAGAGAGTCATTCACCTTGTAATGAAGGCAGCTGGCAGATAAAGCTATGTAAGGTTTAAAGCTATGTAAGGCTTAAAGCTAGGTAAGGTTAAGGCATATGTAACACAAAGTCTTAAAATTGTTACATTATAGCTTAATGGTGCTTTTGCACTTCAACAACTTTGGGTATCTGTGTTGTTGGAAGTTGCACCTTAGCTGGATTTCTCTAAAACTAATTTGAGGATTATTTCCACATTAAACATATCTTTTAAATATTAAACATATTTAAAACCAAGCTACTGACATTTACACCAAATCAAAACTCCTCTTTCTAGGCCTTGACGTGAAATGTTGGGGCGAGTGTGCCCGGAGCGTGGGGGGAGGAGGAGGAGGAGGAGGAGGAAGAAGAAGAGGAGGAAGAGGAGGAAGAGGAGGAAGAGGAGGAAGAGGAGGAGGAGGAAGAGGAAGAGGAAGAGGAAGAGGAAGAGGAAGAGGAAGAGGAAGAGGAAGAGGAAGAGGAAGAGGAAGAGGAAGAGGAAGAGGAAGAGGCTCACCCAGCGCGTGGCTGCAGCTGCGGCAGGGCTCGGCCAGGCTGACCGCCGCCTGCTGCAGCTCAGCCCGCGGCGGCGTGGGAGGCGGGTTCGGGTTCTTCCAGCCATTGCATTTACAGGATTCCTCAGCCTGAAATCAAAGCAAAGGGATATTGATCAACGCCACAGAACATGGGAATTTGCTGCAACTGCGTTATTTCAAAAGCAATAAAAAAGAATTACAGGTTGCTTTGTTTTATGGTGGGGGGTGAGAGGAGGGAAGTTGGGGAGTTTTGCCATTGTTTTGTTTGCATTTTTATCTACCACATTACTAACCCTTATCTTTTGGAAATTGTCAGAAACAGAACAGTATCCCAAATAGAGAGATTAGCACAGTTGGGTAAGCTGAATACATAACCCACCCTGCCTAGCTCCTTTACGGATGGCTGTCACTCTACTGAAAACAGTATTCAAATATTTACTAGTAAATCAACATTTACAAATCCTGCCACTGAGACAGATTTAATTATTTAAACACAAACAGGTTATCCAACAGGCAACACATTTGTCACTGCTACACTGGCACCAAGGAATCACAGAGCTGAAAGCAAGCCCGTGATGACCCAGGCAGGGTTAACTAATGCTGAAATAATCAAGCAATAAATGCACTATTGGAGAAGGCTGTTTAAGGCAAGGATCGCTTGGCCATAAAAGCAACAGATGCCAAAGACAGTGACACTTCCACTGAAACCTGCTGCTTTCCTTAGGAAGTTTACTTATGCTCACTGAGTGTGAAACAACCACCAGGAGAATGTAGCTAAGAGGGAAGACCACGAAGGGAGAGGTTGTGACTTTGGTAATCATATCTCAAATCATTCAGAAGATCAAAGTATCAATTCCAGTTATCCAAAGAGCAGCTTCACAGGAGGGGATTTTCTTCTGCATGTCCAAAAGATCTTGGTTATTCTAACACCATTTGTACTCCTATTTGAAGATCTAATTGGAAAGAAAGTCTGCTTTTCTACTCTTCAGAGATATCTGTGCACCGGGTTGTAAAAAGATACTCATGGAATTGCATTGCCGAGACCTCAGTGAGGAAAGTATGCCAATTGCTGCATAATACCTATGGCTGAAACAATCTAGTAGGAAAAATTGTGATGGTAATATATGCAGCACTAATGTATCATTTTTCAAAACTGATTCTGCATGCATTTGCTGTGATCTATTTCAGGAACCTATTTCATTTTCCTTTTAAGTTTCCAAATCCCATCCTACCTAAGGAAGAAGAACACAGGAGAAGCAGAAAGGATCACAGCTTGACAGCTCCTAACACTGACAGCTTTGTAAATGGCTGGTAAATTGTTCTTTTAAACTCATTTCAATATTCAGTAACCTGAGAACCAAGAAAACTGCTGCCTGCAGTTTGCTGAGCACCACATGATGTTTTTACCATCTCTGAGGCTTAAACCAGAGCCTCAGAGCTGGGCTCCTGGCCCTGGGTGCCACGGCCTCTGCCTGGCCCAAGGGCTGCGAGCAGCATTTTCTGTAGGCACCTGGATGACTCAGAAATCTTCCTGCAAGTGCCCAGCAAAACCATCTCTGCATATTTCACTTGAAAAAGGGACAACCTGCATGGCCTGAACCTCCTGGCTCTCCAAACTCACTGAGTGGGCGCAGACCGCCTGCCAACCCATGCATTTATAAAGTGAAATCAGAGAGGCTTCAGGATGAAATGAGGGGAAGATGAAAACAAATTTTTTTCTAAGTCTCATAAAACACAATCTGAAAAGATTTATGGTGAAGTTTATGCTCTTTTCCTATCGTGTTTTCTGTGAGTAATGTGATTGGCAGAGAACTGAAGTGTAATTTTATGGCAGAAGCCGTCTCTTACAGTTTCACAGGCATTGAGCCAGTTGTGTTTTCCATCCAGCCCTACAGGACCTCCAAGCTAAATGGGCTTGAGGGATCAGAGATTGAGGGATACCTGCAAGGCACAGGTTGCCCCAGTGCAAGGACTCTGGACATCTGGGAGATGACACAAAACCCCTTATTTTCAATTAGCTTCCCAATGCAAAACCAATGTCAAATAAACTATACACGTTTGTTTTGTGAGAAAGGCAATGTTGCCAATTTTTTTGCATTTAATATGAGGCTACAGAAACAGTCAACAAAAAAAAAGAAAAAGTCTGAAAATGAGATTATTGACAAAGAAAATGCAAGAGACAATTGTGAAGGAGTTGTCAAACAAAAAAGGACTGAATATTATTTTAGGGAAGTAAGATTTGACCCTTCCCATGCAGCTGTCTGGACAAATGTTCAACACTGTAAATTACTGACATATCACCATGCCTATTATTTATTGCCTTAAATCATGCCCCAATGAAGCATATCCATAATTCCCTCCTAAAAATAGGCACAAGAAGATTTTTGAGGTTTTTTTTCTCTGAGTGGAAGCAGTATGCCACAGAAGCTCACCAAACAATGTTTACTATCAAGCCAAAAAGCTATAAACAGTGAGTAACTATGCAAAATTTAGTGTCACACCATAATTAACAGCAAAGATGCAAACAGATGTACGAATCATGATACCAGCTCAGTTAAACTGACAAAAATAAATATCAACCCACCCACAGAAGAACAAAACCAGCATGCTCAATGACAATTTTTTTTTCTGCTCTTGTTGGTATTTCCTCACCAGATCTTTTTGCAACAGCTGTTAATTGGTATTGTTCGAATTATTCTAGAGACCTTAACCAACCAACCACTAGGGTGGCTTTTTTTGGTTAATCTCAATAAAACACCAGAATTAGCATATATATTCTGTTAACCAAGGCAAAACAGAACCTAAAAATGTCCTCTTTAAAACTTAGCTTTTATTGTAGATGTTGACAGTGCAACTATTTTGCAGTGAATATGCAATGTGCATTCCTCAGTGGCTTAAATTGCTGAGTTGTTTTAAATGTTCCACAGCATTTTGCTCATTCAATCCTTTCTTTGACTATCTTCAGCTTTTTCCTTTCTTCCTTTTTTTTTAATGTCACTCATCTGCTTTTCATTAGAAAATAAAGTATGACTTCACCTCTGCAAAAACTTAATGTAAGATCAAAACAGTTTTGAGGGAAGGAAGGAAAAGTATTTGAACTAGCACATCTAGTCCTTGAAGCCTTGTTTTCTGGGACATCTGCAGAGCTTTGATAAATCCACTGTGGAGCGATGGGGACTTCTACCCTAATGAGGCCTGAAAAATAATGACCACCATCTTTGCAGGCCCAAGGATCATGAACACCACACCTTCATTGGTAGTTTTAATAAAATTTAATAAAATTGGAGGACTGCAACAAAATAAAACACAGCAACTACATGTTGTTGTCTTTCCCCCTTCCTGCAAAACAAACAAACAAAAAAAAAGCCAACCATAAAATAAGCAAAAAAAAAAAATCCATTGCAGAAATTATGTACATTTTGCACTGCATGACACAATTTTAATTTTCTTTTTAACTCCTTCCACATTTGGTGGAGTGTTACAATGGGATAAATCAAACTGTCCGGTAGCTCTGGGCAGTGAAAACTATAACTCTAGGAAAACTAAAGTGATCGCTTCCTTTAGAATTCTGAGTAGGTATTCACTGATAGGTCAAATATGGACCGTGAAAAAATACAGCATATTTTAACACATTTAACACAATTTAACTGTCAGTATTGTACTTAAAAAGGGAACACCTGAAAGTTACAATATTGCACATATCTTAGCCCTTTTTAGGTGAGTTTCAGCTCTGCAAATAAAAATAAATTAAGAATGTTACAATAACTTATTGACTAAAATATCCCTCCCCCTTTTAGATAGTGAATGTGCAAACTGCAAGCTAACTTAATTATAAGGTAAAAGACCCCAACAGTTCTAAATGTGAGTTTCAAATAGTTGTTGTGCAGGATTCTTCTTTCCAGCTAAAAATCATACAGGTTACCCTATTTGATAATTGAGATGCAAAACAGGCTCAACAGATTATACACAGAACATTACAGATCTCTATTTCCAGCAAGTATAATTACTCTAGAAAACATCATCTTCCTCCCAACACAAAAGCTGTGTAAAATACCCTATAAGCTTCCTCCTGCTGGCAGCAAGCTCAAAATGATAACTTTATCAAAGACATCAATTATAATAAATACATTGATGAATTTAAATCATATGTTTTCCCTACTCATATGCCCAGTACCCAAGAACCAGACAGCTGGACACTACTCAAAGAGCCACTCATATGTATCAGGAAATTAGCTGACCCATTTAACTTTAACAATACAAAATAAGCAGTTTAATGGGCAGCTTAAAGAGCATTTATTGATTGATCCAATTATTTTATTCCCTGTACTTTCCAGTTTCACTTACAGAAGAGAAGTAGGCTACCATATAAAGCTTTTATTAATAATAAGCACGCAGTTCCTACCTTGTAAAGTTAATGGTAGATTTCCTAATTAAAGGAAGATGCTATAATTTGGCCTGTAAGACATTATAAAACAGATTCACTCCACAATGAAAGTGATAAGAAAGCTTTAGATGACTTCTTTGTCTCCTATACACTTCTGCAGAAAACAATACACTTCAAGTTGAGCTTCAAGGAGCTGTACTCCCACTATATAGAGCCCAGCAGTAACATGGCCAAATTGACTTTTTTTTTAGTGTGTGGGAAAACTAGAGGTCACTCTAGAATGAGAAGTGGGAAGTGCTTCAAGAAAGGATCAGCAGGTGGTCTGGTGCCTGGGGCTGGGATTCCACTTCCACATCTGCCTGTTGCTCACCTGCTGCAGGGCCTTGGCCAAGCCATCTCATCACAACCCTTCTCACTCTGTCTACTTTGCTTATCTAAAGCAAAAAGCTATTCTTAAAGGAGGTATTATTCTTCGTGCATGTGCTTTAGGCTACTGGGTTCTAATTATACCTGTAAACACCCAGGCATTACTGTAAGATATGTATAGTGAAAAATAAACAAGTTTACAGAAAACTTAGTGTACTAAAATAGTACGTATTTCACCTTATTTACAAAAAAAGCTCCCAGTGAGACGGGAGAGAGAGTTGTATTTTCACATATTGTAAACCAATAGGGCAAAAAAATGCAGAGGAGGCTTCCTCCTACATCTTCATTAAATATATTCATATGTGTAAGTCACACAGTGCTGCTTTTATATAAAATGCTGCAAGCTCACATGCCTAATGCTCAATCTCACAGTGGACAAAACCAAAACGATGTATGCAGCCATTCATATACACACAGGCACAGCAAGTGCCAAATACAAAACCCCTCACAGCACACAGCACTACTGTGTACCTCCAAGAGTCATGAAAACTGTACCAACTCCTCTTATAGATCTTGTTCAGAATGCCACCCTCCTCCTTCAGACTTGGGCTTTCAAGAAGGTTTTTTACTAAGAGTCTGTTCTATGCCTTCCACACAGACTTTTCTCACAGAGGAACAAGTTAAGTGGAGCAGCTCAAGAGCTACAACTCTCCTGTCCAGTTCTTTTATCAGGAAAAAAACCCTAACTCCACATTTGTCTAGCCTCAGCTCCCTAAACCTCAGGCTCATTCTGCTCAGGATACACCAAATATGTATTTACCAGCAGTCTTTGTCCATGTTTCCCTTGATGAAAAGGGATGGATCATAAAGAAGGACCAGGAGGTCCTTCTTGGGGACCAAGCACCCTGCCCCAGATCTGTGCCTTTTACTCTTCTCTGCTCAGCATTTCTGCTGTCACCAGTGACTGACCTTTTCACCTTCTTGTGTTCTGACCTGATCCCTAACAGACAGGTGCTCCCTGGCTGTTACTCCAAACATCTCTGAGGCTGAGCTCCTAATAAATTCTGCATGCTGAATTTTGCAATGAAACTCATGTGGGAGAAGGTGATTGGCGTTAAGGATGCCGTTACATATTTTAGCACTCCAACTTGTACAGCTCCATGTAGATTTACATAAGATCCACGTACAGTCACTACTTGAATGGGAACAGATGTCCCCTTCAGAGATGGTGTGAGCGTTTGCCTCCTCTCACTCTTTTGCACTCACAAATGCAAAATCAATGAAAGAGAAGTTGCAACCCAAAGTAGGAAAAAGTTTAAAGTTACATACTGCACTGCTACAATTGGCAAACCAGCTTCTCCAGGCTACAGTTTCCAGCAAATCACTAAAGTTACAAGCCAAGAAGTGTCCTTCTGGAGCACCTGCCAGGCGCTCAGAAAAAAAAAAACAACTTTCTTCCACCCTGCACCATCCTTCCTACCTTACCCCACAGGAGAAGCTTGCAAGGAGCTTCCAGTCTGCTTACTTGTTTCTGTTACGAGATCTGAAAGCAAGCTGCCTGCCACTGTAGAGAAGTTGAATAGCAATTTTAATCTGAGCACAGTGCAGCATTTAGTGCTGGAACTGTGCCTGCATCCTGGCAGGAGGAAGACCCCCTGACCATGGTCCTGCTCCATTCATCACTGCAGTACCAATGGGACACAAATCCAAGACTTGTCACAGGTGATGGCCAGCAAGGACACTCAGCAGAGCACCGACAGGAGCTGTTCCTGCTCCGTACCCCATCACCAGAGTCCTGCAAGGGGGAAAGAGGGGCTGACAGCAGGTACAGTGTGCCCTCCTCCCCTCCTAAATGGTGTTCACCCAACTTGCCACAAAGCACCTGCAGGACAGAGGCTGGTGAGACCCCAAAGAAGCAAAGGGTTTCAGAGGAGACAAGGCTTCTCTATAGCACACCAACCTCTGCGGGGCAGAGCACTACAGGAGATGGCTTTCACCCCCAAAAACATCATCTGGAGGTGCATCAGAGGAAAAAAAAAAAAAGAGAGAGAGCACCAACCAGCAACCTCTGCGGGGAAGAGCACTACAGGAGATGGCTTTCACAAAAACATCATCTGGAGGTGCATCAGAGGAAAAAAAAAAAAAGAGAGAGAGCACCAACCAGGGAAGAAAAGAGCAATCCAAACACATACACACACACTTCTCTAACAGCCTACGAAAAATTTACCCACTTCACAACCAGCTTCATTTATTAGTAAGTCTTGGTAACATTAAAATGGAGTAACATTGGTACCATTATGGGGATGTAAAGGGGAATTATCACTGGGAAAGCTTCAAACCATATCACTCTGGCCACAGTGCTGCAAAGTTCAACTACAGCAGCTACTCTTTAACCTTATTGGCACTGGTGTAATCTCATGCTGTCCCATGCATGCACCAAAGCTGAAGTGTGCGTGCACATGTGGAAACAGCTAAGATATTGCAATGTGTGGCTTCTGTAATTTGCCCTCCCTTGGCAGCATTGCGCCATGCCCTCAGCATACAGTTAAATCTCCTTGCATCACCAGCCAGGACTACAGAGCCATGGTGCAATGATGCTTCGTCTCGTTTGTTAGCTTGGCCTTTCACTTAACATCTGCCGAAGTGGGAGAAGAGAGAAAATAAGACGCACTTTTTTCACAAACGGCTACTCTCAAAGCTGAAAGCATTACTAGAGGATCTGACATCAGCACTGCCAATCTAAATATGTCAGCCCCGCTGTGCATCCAGAAATTGGCTTGACAGCAGCAGCGCAGCCAGCGGCCCGTGCTCTGAGCACAGGCGACAATGCCCGCGGTCAGAGCTCTAAAGGCGGGAGTGACAGCTCTGACCGAGCTCATCGCTCTGTAATAAACAGGCGAGTCCTGCTTCTCCCACCAAGAAGAAAACGCAGGTGGACAGAAAGCGCTTGTGATGGGAAACCAGGAGTAGCACTCCTGAATGCGATCGCAGGGCAGACACGGAGCAGAGAGCCCGTCTGGGCAGGGTACAGGTGGACAGGGGATCCCGTCGTCCGCTCGGACACCACACACCGGACACCGGCCCGGCGCTACGTGACCGCCGGGAACACAACTTTCCCAAGCGCGGAGGCCGCGCCCCTTCGCCCCTCGGCCAGTGCTGCTGGCGACAGTGACAGCTCCAGCTCGGAGCAGCGGCTTCAGCGGTGTCAACAGCTCCGCGCTGCGAGACCGCGGCCAGGGCCGGGCTGGAGCAGCGCCCAGCGGGGCCGGGGCCGCGACCTCCGGGCGGAGCAGAGGGTGCCCCGCTCCCGCCCGGGATGTTTACGCTGCAGCAGCGCCGCTAACCCAGGCGCACCGCCGGCTCCGGGAGCCGCCCCGGCCGCCGCCGCCTCCCGCGGAGGGACGGACAGACTGACGGAGCGGCGGCGCCGGGACGGGCAGCTCCCGGCGGGAGGGAGGCGGCGCTGCCCGTGCGGTCCCGTATTCGGTGCGCGCGGGTTTAATTTCTGCGGCCACCAGCCGGAAAGCTCCGGGGGGAGCAGGATCCACCGGCACCTCCGTAGCCACCACTTCCTCGGGCAGCGCCGGGCCGCCCCCGCGCCCGGCAGGGCACGGCCCTTCCCCACCGCCTCCCTCCCTGCCTTCCTCCCTCCCCTCCCGTCAATCCCCACCCTCCGTGGGCGGGGGGGCTCCGCGGCCGCCCGGCCGGTACCTTGCAGGCGGAGTAGACGCCCAGCTTTTCCAGCTTCTTGGCCCGCGGCGCGGCGCGCAGCTGCGCCTTCTTGCCCGCGGTGCGCGCCGAACCGGCCCCCCCGGGGTTCTCGGCGGCGCTGCGGACCGGGCCCCCGGCGGCCACCCCCGGGGCTGCGCGGGCGGGCGGCGCCCCCGCGGCACCCGCTGCGTGCGGAGCCGCTATGGAGCCATCCCGGGAGGCTGCGCGGAAAGTTGCCCTAAAAAAGAGGCGGCATCGCTGGCGGTGTCGAACGGTCCCGAGCCGCGGTGAGCCCGCGGTGCTGCCGCAGCCGCTGTGGCCCCTCGGAGCGCCGCTACTTTGTTTGGCTTAACCATTGCCTTCCCGCGCTGTGTACTCTGCGGCCAGCTGTGAAGGGTTCAGTCTCTTCCCCAGATGATTTCTAACTGAATGTGAAAGTACGGGTCAGTTTGAAATACCGGCTAATCAAAAACTCTCTGCTTAGTTTCACGCTTCATGGTTCTGGGGCTTGGTTGTTTGTTGTGTCCAGAAACAAACAAGAAAGTGTTGAGAGCAGGTCAGTTTATACCTTAAAGGGATTACCCTTTAATTGAAACTTAATTTAAGGAAATGGCTCTGCTCCAGAGAGCGCACTCCATGCACAGCAGCAAGCGCACCGGGGGTGAGGCGGTTCTGCCCCGTTGCACGTATTAAAACCGTGGTTGAGCCGTGAGAAACCACAAATGGCAATTCCGTACTACGGCACCACGGTTTAAAGGGTTGGGATTGAGGCTGGGCGTTTGCGTGGGATTTACGGTTCTTTGATGTGTGAAGTTAAACTATCAAAGAAGCAGTATGAGTTTGGAGGGAAGTCCCAGCGAAGAGAGAGGGCTCTTGCAGGCACAGGGCCTTGGCACCTTGCATGGGAAAAGCAAAAATAACTCTAGGTTTCTGCGAAGTAATATTTGGGGGGAAGGGTGTGTGACAAAACCCTGTGGCGTCCTTCTTCCCTTCGCAGCTCCTGGGGATATTTTCAAGCATGATATTATACAGCGAGCTGGCATATTCACGAAATGACAGGAAACTAGAATGGAATAAAATGAGGTATTTAATGAAACAAGGGTATCTGTTGTTTTTCTCTATTTACTTATTTATAGCTGTATTTTGCTGAGGTGTAAAATCGACAGGGTGTTGATGGGGGTCAGACCTGCTCCCCGGCCTCCGCCGCGGGCTCGCCGGAGCCGGGGCAGCCCGGGGAATCCGCGGCGGAGGCCGGGCTGGCTTCGGGCTTGGCAGCAGCTGTGACAGCGACCCGTAAGATGGCTGCTGCCATCCCCGGCGCTTTAAGACGGACTGGTTAAGGTGGAGGAGCCGCTGCCCTTGGCGGTAGCAGCCTCAAGATTAATAGGAAATTAAACGCGATACGAAAATCCAGTTTCTTTGGCATTTAGGAGAGAATTATCTTCGTCTTTTGTTTTTAATTTTTTGTTGTAAGTGTCCGAATCACGTTTTAAAATAGCAAAGAGCCTCCGTATGTTAAGCAGCCCCTAAGAAGCTCTTTGCTTGCATTTTCTTTATGCCGGTTAGGTTTCTGCTTTCGGACTTGAAAATGAAACTGTTCTTGCTTAGTTTCGCTTTCAGCTTTCCCACGACTCCTCCTCGGCAGAGCAAATGTTACAAGCAAAGAGCACATCTGGAACAGCGTGCTGGCTGCCATGGACCAGTCAATATCCCTGCCTGAACACAGACCTCTAGTTTTCCTGGGAGTTGATGTACCTTTATATGCCCCTGTATGTTTTTCCTTTTTTGTTTTTTGGGGTCTTTTTTCCCAAATCACCAGGTTCTCCTTTAACCAGGTAGATAATGATATTTAACCCAGCATTAAGTTTGCCCACTTACATGTAATGAATTAGTTTTGATACTGAAAATACATTTACTGCTTTCACACAGATGCATAACTCCACCGATGTGCATCAAGGCCACTCAGTGAGCCCTTGTGTCTGAAGCTGCACAGGTGAATGCTCACAGGATCACAGCTAGGTGAACAACCTTATTCTTTAGGAACCTTAAAAGCCCGAAAACTTGTTGCTTCCAATAAAGTAAAATCAAAGACGAAAGTTGTCAGGAAGCATATAATTTTCCTGCAGTTCCTTCTTGAATCCTCAAGAGCATGGCTGCCTTACAGTACCATGTCTCTTTTTTTCCATTATACCTTGATGCTCGCCAGATAACCAAAAACGTAAGTCTACCAGCTTGTGGCTACAGATACAGTTACTATAGTAACATTTATAAACACTAATTTCACTACACTTGCAGCACTGCTGCCTGCTAGAAGCTGCTTAGAAAGAAACCACTCTAACTGTGAATAGGTAAGTCTTTCTCCTTTTTTTTAACGTTAAGCCTGATTATTGCTCAAATTCTAACTTTGTGTGAATATGTTGTTAAAAACAAAAAGGAAAAAAGCTTTACTTTGTCTTTAACTGCTCTAGCAAAAAGAAAAATATTCCATTTAAAATTTTAGCAAGACTAAGGAGTAAAAAGAAAAACAAAAATAAACCCCCTATGCTTTGACATACATGTGGATACATGTCATTGTTGCATATATCCAAGCTGTTTTCTTCTGTTGGCTGAATTCACAAGTACAGTACATACTAATTTTCTAATTATAATGCATGCATAAATCTGAGCACCATGTAACCCCTCTGTTGCTTGGTTTTCATCATTAAACATGAATATATTAAATTAGATTAAAACTCACAGCATTGTCTGAAAAACCCTTACCACGTTTTTCAGTTTCTGTCCTTTGGGGCATGTCAGTGGGTTTGCACAAGTCGAGCTGCCTCTGAAACCCAAGTTGAGGAAGCACAGGTGGGAGCAGATGATCCTGCCTGTGCTGCTCAGCTCACAAGCTCAGGTGAGTAGCCAGGTGACTTCAGGAATGCTACTCATCTGCATCAAATTAGGGAAGGCAGGAGCTAGGTGAGACACAGGTGCCAGCTCATGTGGGTTTCAGGTCTCACACAGGCTGCTGATAGCCCCGAGGAGGTGCCTGCTCAGAGCCCATGCTCCCAGCAGATCAGACATGCATTTCACATTTGTTGCTCCTGCATGAATTCACCCTGAACACCTGACAAGCTTAAATGCAAGAGCCTGTGTGTTACTATTATTCCAAGGAGGCAGCTGCATTCTTGAGTCACAAAAGAGGAAATCAAAATACAGTTTAGGGTGTGCCGGACTCCAGGTTATTACCAAGTTGTCATTTAGGGCTTTTGGGGCCTATCTTGCTCTCATAAATTAAAGAATGACTCAGTCAATAGCATCCTAATGCTGAATGCTACTGCTCTGACAGGGACCACCCAGCCTGCAGCTGAGCTCTGGGAGTCTACCCCTAACCCTGATCCCTGTCTCACAACCCAGTCAGATCCAGCACGCCCAACCCAGCCTGCTTTTGTTCAAGTGAGATTTCTTCCAGCACTCCCACCTGTTTTTGTTCTTGCCATTCAATGCCAACAGAAAAAGCGTAGCTCTTGCTCTTCCAGGAAATTTGTCTGAGTATGAAACCCTGTTGCATCCTTTCATTAGTGCATTCCTTGTGGGTGAAGCGGCCTCCCTCCTGGCCACCAGGAATTCAGGAGTGCTATCAATACTTTATGAGTCACTGGAAGTATTAACAGTACAAAAGTCTTGCCCACTAGGCCGTCTCTAGCATCTCATCAGCTTCCCATGGCGCTTACATGTGACTCTAACAACATCAGGTTTTTGCTCTAGTAGGAAACCTCACACCCCAATTACCCAGTTTCTGAAGGAAAAATGCAGAAAAATAAATGGAGAAAATGTCATTTGCAACACCCTGGCCTCCCTCCTGGCCACCAGGCATTCGGGAGTGCTATCAATATTTTATGAATCACTGGAAGTATTAACAGTACAAAAGTTTTGCCCACTGGGCCATCTCTAGCATCTCATCAGCTTCCCGTGGCGCTTACATGTGACTCTAACAACACAGACCTTCCCATCAGGTTTTTGCTCTGGTAGGATACCTCACACACCAATTACCCAGTTTCTAAAGGAAAAAATGCAGAAAAATAAATGGAGAAAATGTCATTTGCAACACCCATGGCTGCTCCAGGCACATAAATTTCTTGTTAGTGGTGGACCATTTAGCAGTTTTTATATGCTTTTTACCCAGAGGATGCTTTTCTTGACTGTAATCAGACTTTTGATTTAATCCAAATCAAATGAGAAAACCAAAGGCTGAAGTCACTCCGGCCTTTGCACAGTTTTAGCTGTGTCCGTGAAGTCCAGAAGATGTTTGTTGAAGTTATTTAGCCATCAGCAGTCACTGCATAGGCTTACACTGTATTATTTTGTGGTAGTGAGAGCTCTGGATTTATTCTAGTAAACATGGGATGTACTATCTATTTTTGCCTTACCTTCTCTTTGACTCCTCACAATTCTTTTGTTTATTCCTTTCTTTAATGTATTTTTCTGTTCTTTCTATTCCTGAACTCAGGGCAGAGATTCCTGCAAACCTCTAGGTCACCACTTGGTGCATTTTGACTGCTTGTGCCATGCAGGGCATGTCATTTGGTGCTGGAAGCCTGAAATATCCCTGGGAGACTGGCACAGGCACTGCTGGCAGGGTTGGGAGAGAAAGAGCCTCCTTTCTCCATCCTGCACACAAGTGCAGGTGCCAGCCAGCACCCTTGACACAACACTGACGTAAATATTATTTCTGTAAGATGAAGTTACGGTCGCCTAAGCACATCTGATTGTGCAAACCCAGCCATGGGCATTCCACATATCTGTGTGGGGGGCCACCTGGAAATCCTAGATTTTCCAGGAGCTACAGACACAATGGCAGGCACCACTGCTAAGCCCTCGGCCAAGCAGCAGAAACTAAACAGGCTAAAAACTTCCATTTGGACCAACTGTAATAGTGCTGTGTACAGCTGAAAAATGCAGAGGAACCCCAGGAGTACAGCACCAACCCCAGATGGGGATTTGTGGAGGAGGGAGGCAGGATTTCACTGGGAGTGCAGAAGGCACAGTTATGTTATCACCACCCATCTTCTACCTTCTGCCACAGCTTTCTTTGTGGGTCCCGAAGCCCCTCACATCCCTCACCTGTGCCAAGGCTGGCAGGCTCACTGTCCCACTCAATGTTTCACAGCCTCTCTGCCCCACACAGGCCCTTGGGGGATAGCAAATTGCTACTTCTGCCTCACTGAGACTAACCCATCTATGAGGAAGAGCTGCAAAATTATCTGGAGTTTAGAAAGAGCTGGTTTGTCGTTGTTTCACTACTCCCATTTCCCATTTTGATGCTTCCTCCCAACTGAGGAGCTGCACCTCTGCACAAGGGGACAGTGTCACAAATTAGAACTCTGGCCCAAGAAGACCTAATGATGGGGACTCTTATTTTATAGGGTGGCACAAAACCAGAGGGCCTGGAATCCCGGGATTCCAGTTTTGGACAACACTTTAGGACATAAATAAGGAGATTAATTATCTTAATTTATTCCATAATTATTTTAATTATCAATCACTTCCTTCTTTCTTACCTATTATCAGGTTTACAGGTGGGAGTACAGGATTCCAAGTCCTGAATGCAGGCTCTGCCCCTGGCATTCTCCCGTGACTCACCAAGTCTTTATCTCTTCCCACACCTATCATAACTAGACTTTCTTGAAGCTGCATCACTGCTTCTGGGGATGCAGTAAGTAGGCTATACATGCCTACTCCCAAGTTGACTCACTTGGGAGAAGATGTCCTGCTCCTTCTGCACCATTCCCTCTGTGGATGGTTTTGGAGATTGAGAGGACCAGCTCTGATAAAAAATTATGGGGGGTATAGGGCACAGCTCCTGGGTTAGCAAACAAGCTTGTTTTTTCAGGTGAAGACTTTTTCAGACTTTTTTCATGAGTTTAAGGAAGGCTTTGTAAGGGTTTTCTCATAAGATATTTGCTCTTTTCTGCTTTGGCCAAAGATGACCACGTGAACCTGGGACCTGCTAAGGCAGCACCCACCCAGCAGAGGCTGGCTCTGACTGTGCTGTGGGACATGAGCTACACAGCACAGTCACACTGCACCAGACAAGTGCCAATGCCTCACTGCCACCCAGGGTGTCTCCTTGACAGATGCTGGGGGCATCAGGCACCCTGCAGCTCAGGGACAGACAGTCCTGGCCATGCTGAGAGTCTCTGTCATGGTTGCTGTATGTGGGTGTGATGCATTCACAGTTTTCCAGGGGAGGTGCTGCTGCTGGAACTCTGCTGAAGGTGTGGTGGCAATGAAGCAATGTCCTGGTGTCACAGGCACATGGGAAGGAGAGGA